TCTAACGGGCGAGCCTGAGAGGTGCTTGGCACGGTTAAAAAAAAGAGCTTACACGCCATCGTTTTCCGTTTACACGGCGTTCGCTCATGCACGCGCCTTTCTTCTTAGTAAAAAAATGACAGGTCCTAATACTTAATTCCGATATAAATATAGAAACCGAAATTGTAATGAATTTATCATTCTGAACCTTTAAAGAAAGTGTATTTGGAGTGCGCTGTATGTAGATAAAATCGTGTTCTACGGATGTTAGACATCAGTGACTAGCTCGACATGAAATTATACTTTGAGTTAGTTGACATTATTTTCGAAACTTACGCGATTATCTTTAACCACTTATTTCAAGGCATCCTTTTAGATGTAGATGCTCTCACGATGACAGGACTTCATTTGTTTGGTAACAGTTTTCTAATTTTCCACGGCAATTAAACAGTTCCATACCTTTTCCTAACGAGCAGTCAGTTCTTTTTTGTAACTGTTAAGTGGAAAAGCCGAAGGCAAAAACCCGAACTTTTAGCTTTCGATCAATTGCTTCTTTACGAGCTTTTGCTGGCTCTAAAAGCTCTCAGCTTTATCCATGAATACGGTTTGCAATGATCCGCAGGGTTAACAGGCGTGATAGTTTCTTCCTCTGTTTTTCATACATGCACTGTATAGAAAGGCTAGTATAAGGGGACACACTTTCTTTTCAACGAGTCGTCCTCTTTTAATCTAGCTCTTGAGAATTCAGAGATGCAGAAATATCAAGATATGAATGTTTTTTTCACTACTTATTTTTTCCAAGAGCTATTGTCATAGTTGTTAAACCTGCCTGTGTTTATAAAAATTCAGACTTTAAATACAGAGCGCCATACTATTCAATTATATAAAAAATATTTAGTTACTTGTTTCATGAGTTGGTCGTGTCATAAGCTGTGCTTCCAAGCGAAGAGGCTGTAAGGGCTTTTGAAAATTGACTACGTGTTTAACAACGTGAGCAAATTTATTCTCTTCCAGTTCGTTCTGTTGCCTAAACAAAAACTGCATATTCCTGCTTTCATTTTCAAAGAATCAGAGAAAGTCTGCGCTCGCGCCATCCTCGATCAATACATTTCATGTTTCCTGTTTATTTTTTTTTTTGAGAGGGCACGGTAACGAATCCTACAATCTGATTGGTTCTTTACCCGGTCAGTATTTTCCTATCTCTGCCCACGGGCCACGGTAACGCTTTCGTGAATCGCCGAGTACATCCCAAATTTCGTTGCCATTTTTCATAAATATGTCTCGTTTTTCCGACTGGGCAGTATTTTAAAGCAAACACGTCGGTCACTACCTCGAGCCGATAAATGACTTATGAATCCTCTCTTTTCTCTCTCTCAAATCACTTTGGTAGACAGTAAAATATTGGTTTCAGAATTAATTTGTTTAAGCAATAGTGTCATTACGTTGGTTGACAAGCGGTCTAAAAACCGTCTGCAATTAATTTTAATCGTTCACAAAAAGCACTTAGAGAGTTAAAACGTGAGGTATTTGGTTACAGTCATTCACATTCATTAAATATTTGAATTTTCTCAAACAATTTGTTCGTAGTGAAAGAGCGAGCGAAATTTTAAATTCAGTTCTACATCAAATATACGCTCTCGATGAGTCTTTCCAAGTCCCTTCAATTTGGACATTTGTACCGTAAATGGCACAACAGAAACTGAAGGAATTTATTAATTAAATCCCCTTGTGTCTCGTTGGAATGGACCACTCGAATTTCGTTGTTATTCAAATCGTCTTTCGCTTTTTTTTTCTTACGCGCTTCCTAATTGACAGGTGTCAGATCGTGACAGATACTTGCAAATATAATGTTTCAAAGTTTGCTTGGAAGCCTTTTAAATCACCTTTATCCTTGCGCAAATGAAAATGTTTTGGACATCAAGTCCATTGAGTTCGCTGAAAACGCTGAGCATACAAAAATTTACTCAGCTAGAGTTTGCCTCGTAAGCACTTTCAATATGGATGTACTTTCACTTTCCAAGTATATATCTACCTAAAAGATAGCAGCTATTGGGAAAGATTGCATTTTGTATCTAAGTTATAAACTGTGCAGTTAAAGTCGGTCATTTGACGGGTGAATAATGAGCAGCAATACACTGATAGAGGTGTTTGGTCACATTGTGTTCAGTTTCACTCGTGGTGTGTCAGAGCATTACAATCCAGAAGAACCTGTATTGACACCGGAGTCGTTTGGCTACGATCCTTTAGAAAGCACCGGTCGAGAATGGTATTATCATCCCGTAGATGAGTTTATATTTCAAGAATACAGCGATAGAAGGGATACAGCTTTTTCTTATCTTCCTTCATCGAGTCTTAATGTGAGATGTATAGACGCGTGCACACCAGAGGAAAATGAAGAGACGTTAAGCGGCCAACAAGATGCATGAAGATCGAGCAATGGCTTGGAAGCGGCTCAGACCATCCACTCTTTCCACAGTGTGGAAAGCACTGTGCACCAGTGCTTTGATTTCATTGTTGACTGCTGCTATTATCGGTGTCCTATATATAATGATAACCTACGTCTGCTATCAAACCATATACAACTGTCAATTTCATGACACGGAGACAATTCCTGAGAAAGTACAATGGATCAGAACAATGTCTGGCATCACAGGTTGTGTTTTCCTGTACTTGTGGTTCTTTGGAGGAATGCTTTTACTTTTCCGACCATATCAGATCATGGGGTTGAAGGGGAAACTGTTCTTAGTAGCTTTCTTCCTGTTTTCTTTGGATGCACTTTATCGCGTGGCTCTTCAACTCCGTGGAATATCTCATTCTAAACTTTCTGTGTTAAAAAAGATTCCATTGAACGTACTTTTCCTCTCCAGTATATGTTGGCAAATTTATCTCTTAACAAATGCGTTTCGCTCGTTATCAAAAAGGCTGAATTTATTTTTCAAAATGCTAATGCCAAGTTGTTTCCCTTTCGCAATCGCCATCTTCGTAGCGTCTTATATTTACCCGATGTACAGCAAGCAAGATGGGAAAGGAAAGCTACTTATAGCAATCTTCTCGCCTCTCATCGGGGTCGTTCTTAAGGTGATCTCTCGAATATGCGTTCAGCGGTTATGGCGCATAACTCATCCAGGACGTTCGTTCGTCTTGTTAGCGCCGTTGTATTTTGGAACAGCAGTTATGTTTCGAGTGTTGCAAGCAGAGCTTGACAGCCTTAAGTCCATCGCTATCCTTGGAATAGTCCACGGCGCTGCAGAAGTCATAGAGAGAAGCACCATGGTTATCATTGATCACGTTTGTCATGTAATTTTAGAAAGAAAATCAGCTCTTTGGGGAAGTTTCCGCACTCCACGGCGTGAGCGACTAATGGCTGATGTCGCTATTTTAAGCATGCTTTATGAATCAACTGCTATTGTTTCTGTTAACAGTGTTTTGTACTTGTATCAACATATTTACTTACAAAATATTCTACTTTTAAAGCTGCTGCAGAAATTTGCAATTCATACCTCAGTTGCACTGGTTATTGAATGGTTTTTCACCGGCGCATCATTGGCCATCGAGACTCGTTATCAGAACATCGCAGTTATGGCCGTTTGGCGAAAAAGATGGAAAAGACACATTTTGGTTGCTATAGCAAATCTCGTTCCATTGGCAATTTGGACGACACCCAACCTCTTGGAAATTGTACATGGGCGCTTTTATGAGTTTCAAAGCCACCCGTGCAAAATGCCCTTCGCTTAGAGACTTGGAAATCATTACGCTGGCGTCCGTTCAGCCTTTCCACGGGTGACGGTCTTGTAAGCTTCTCTTCGATACCGCCTTACATTATTCGGTTCGTAGCGGAAACGAACTTTATGAAGAAAGAATCCATGTTCCGTCTGCTTGTACAGAGAAAGGAAACTCTGACCACAATGATTATTTCTAAAAGACCTGCGAGGATGAAGATTTCATTGGAAAGAATAGCAGAGATTGTGTGTTACTAAAATAAACGCCATTCGATCTAGCGCTTTGAGGCAATTAAATATGGAGAGCTTCAGCTTACAAATTGATTTAATCACAGGTCTTATGGGCTACGAACATTGCCGTAATGAAACAGTCAATGACAACCTTTTGTTTAAGCATTACACAAACCGAACAGAACACCAGTATCGCGCTCGTATGGGTCTGCTTAGCACCTCTTTGGGTTCAATGATATACGCATGCACATTATTTGAAAAATAGTGCAAAGGTTCGATTTCGTATCTTAGAGACACATAACATAAGACTGCTAAGCATTTATAGCTTGAAACTTGCCTTCGAATTCTTTGAATCGTGTAGGTAGAAATTCTTTGGAAAAACTCCTAAAAATACAGAGCATGTGGATACTTTTACAAACTGAAAGTTGCAATACCCTATAGCTTTAATGGTCACGAGGTGAAAACCAAAATAACTTAGACTTAAACACTTCATATAAATTCGTTAACTAAAATTACATGGATAATGCTTGTAGGCTACTATAAATTTACAGTTAACTCTGCCATATGTGATCTATTACTGAACAAACGCACGACAACATGGAACATGTTTGCTTTATATGATAAAGAAGCAAAACTGTTTTGATGGCTCAGCTGCGCCACATTTTGACGTAATCTGAAATCTGTTACTGGAAAGACCCACTGCAATATGGTATATTGTTTGATGGTGACGTCACCTATGCGTCTGTCCTCCGATAGATCATAAGTTAGAAGCAATTAATACGCGCGCGTAATATAGCTTTTTACAACTTACTTAGCATATACACAGGAAAAGGATTTTATGTACGCCAATTACCTCCGTTACAGGTACTTCCTGGGAAAGTATTTAATGTTTAAGTACGAGTAGATATATAACTTTGAAAAAAAACTAATTATACCACAACAGGAACAAAAACTTGTTTAGGCAGTCATACCCTGTTTCATCACGCAACAAATCTAGAGAATTGTGTGATAACCTCCATTTATAGGATGGGGTAGATATTATTATTTGTTTTATGATTAAAGGCAAAAATCTTATGTTATTATATCAATGCCCTGCAAATAAACATACCAGTAGCCCAAATTGTACAGGGCATATGAAAGAGGAAACAGAAGTCGACACGCAAAATCAATTTTTTCTGGGAGAGTTCTTTTTTTCATCCCACATTTAGTTCTGGGTGACTTTGGGTTTCCTTCAAGACACTGTAAGAAACTGCCATTCTTCTGCGATAGCTCTGGTGTCTCGTCATTCGGGCCAGTGTCGTTATGAGGGGCTGTGGCCGTCACTGGTAGGACATGAACTCTTCCCTTAGCTGGGGACTTGACGGAATCACCTGATATGTTCAAAGTTTTGGAGCTCCTGCGATGACGTAGGTCCAGTTTGCTCAAGGATAATCGAGAAGTGTTCTACAAAATCATTCAAAAAAATTATCTTTTCGATTTGATTCACTGTCACGACCATACGGGGATCGAAACCTCGGATCAATGTCAGTATCTACCCTTCCCCTGGCCTAACATTAACTTTAACTTGCTATCAGTTGACTGTTGTTGGACTTGGGGAGGGGTAAGTGCGCAGTTTCTCAGATACTGATATTAATCTCAATCTAAATATCCCACGCACTGTCCCTGCAATATCTTTTTAAGGAGGGAGGCTGTTTAGTCTCTCTAGGTCAAAAGAAGATAATTTCACCATTGAAAAAAAAGTGGAAACCTCATTACCAGTCCTTCGTTGTGTATTCCTTCCTCCTTGTTTTCTTCATTTTGCTTCTCATTTGCGAGTCTCTCTACCAGTACACACTCAACCAGGGACAGAAAGATAAAAAGGAATGACGTCATTAGAAACCAGTCCACCCCTTTCACATAGCTCACCTGCAATGGAGTTACATGTATCGGGTATCATATTGTATCCAATTTTCTTGTTTTTTTTTTTTATTTTGTTTGGCGTGAGTTACGCAAACGTGACACTGAGCCAGAGATACACTTTGATTACATATTGTGAAGTGTTATCCACAGATATAAGTATTTTGGGGTGTGAGAGGCACGGGTGTTGCATTTTTGGTAACGCTACGATATAGAATTCCTCACTAGTAAATAGCAGAAGGGTTTGCAACGAGCCTTGGTTGTCAACAAGGGCAAAAATGCATAAATTAATTTTAAATACGTACGGCCAATATTTATACGGCGTACGTCTAATTTTTGCAGAGAGCGAAATTTTTATAATTATTTTTGGAAAAAGAAAACGTGTCTTTCTTATGATGGTTTTCTTGACTGTTGACAGCCTAAAAGCATAACGAATTTTCGCGAATCCCTGTATACCACCGTCTGTTAAATGCATGTCATGTTTTAGTCATGAGAGTTCTCTAACCTTAGGCAACATGCCGTTAATGTAACCCAATAAGAAAACAATTGTGAGAATGCAAGTGATGCCGACAGTGAGCCTGTCACCTCCATTATCAGGACTCATCCAGAACACGATCCAGCTCAGCATAACGAGGAAGATGCATGGAAGGTACAGCTGGATCATGTAATATCCCAGACGCCTTTGCAGCAAGAAGAATGCTCCTACGATGGTATAGTTACCTGTGTACGATAGCCAAGAAAATTTGTCATCATTGCATATGTAGTTGCATTACACTAGGTGAGGACGACCACGTTAGTTTTGTAGAAGACTCAACTTCAATTTAACAACTCTTTGTCGCCTAAACTTTTTCCTGTTCTCATTCATATGATATAGCTCTGCAGTGATGATCTAAATGAAATCTGTTGCAACAAAACTGAAAATGGATACGAAAGAAAACTTTCGACAGGCCATCTACTATCACAAGAGAATTACCTGTAAATATACCGTATGTTTCCTTAAATAACCACACAAAGACTTATAACCTTGAAAGCTACTTGTCAAAATTAGTTTAGTAACTTAATTACAGTTCGTCTTTCAGGGCGCGGAAGCTTTCTAAATCTTGCTAAATCTTGTCATAAATAATTTACCTCCGATGTATACTCCAACTCGGCGTGAGGGTTTTGCAGATATGATTGAAAACTGCGCCATCGTAGTTTGTTCGACAGTGATAAGGTCTCGTTTCCACATGTAATCAACATCGCGCGTAGAAAATCCGTCTGAGACAAATACAGCACAATGTGTATTAAGGAGGATTGAACATTCTTCGTCTGCCTAAACAATGATTAATCAAATGTACCATGACCAGTACCTAGTTACGGACTATTTGGAAAACTATGAGAAAACCCTCAATTGAAACGCTGCATCTTACTCTGTATAAAACACTTCAGCAGCTAAGTTGCAATGAGGCTACAACTGTAGTGTACATCGATTGCCATACATACAGATCGCAATGTTTTCATCAGTGTACTAATTTAATTCCCGCTGCCCTTTTCATCAGACCTTATTTCCTCCTGACGCGCTTCGCACTTTATTTTCTGACTTTGCGTTGTTGAACACCGCCTTGATTGTGGTTCATACGCTCACACTTTTTCAACTAATTTGATCGTTTATTTGCCTTCTCCTTGATTTACTTATCCACCACTGCACCCTGCTCTACTATATAAAAGTCGCTTGACATGCACTCAGAAACTTTCAGTTTCAGGCATCCAAGATTTTAAAGAAATGAGTGCATGTAACGGTATTTAAGCTAAGAATGATTTTTTTTTCCTTTTTTTTCCTTTAATGGATTCAAGAAGAGAGTAAATGGTGAAAATTATTGTCAATATGCATGTAACATCTCCCACTATATACTTACAGCTCCCAAATGTGAGCGAACAGTTCTGTGTGTCGATTGGAAAGTTGCGAAGATCCATATTACAGGCGGACACTAAGTGAGTACTAAAGATAAACAATATAAAACTATAATAGAACACTTGAGATTCAGTCAAGATCAAGTTTTTTATTAGACAATTTTGGGATAAAATTAGTCCCAAAAACTTTCATGGGGACCATAAGGGAAACCACTTCGAATTTCACTTCTGGCTGCTGCACATTTCATCGTAAATAAGTTATGAGAATTTGGTGCTGGATCAAGTTGAAAAATTTTACCCGATAAGTTGGAGTAAACTTATTACCCTTTTGTTGGATAATGTGTGTATTTAATAGGGAGAAGTTAAATGTTAATCACTACTGGGAGTTAGAAGGATAAACTTGCCATAAAGTTGATACCACAGATGCAGCACATGAATCGCCAACGCTCACACTCTATACTGAGGACTAATCTGCCTCGTTTTAGACCCAAGACCCCGAGTATCAAACCCTGTCGGGCGACACATACCCTTTAGGGAAAATTAAAGAAGTAATATCTCTCAGGATCTCTTGGTTCTGAGTCTGACACTTAACCGTTGCCTTTCCCAAGTGACTTTCAGTCTTCATTTGATATTAATGAAGAATTCATATTTAAGTCGAATTAGCGGGTGGTAGCCGTAGAAGTTTCATCTGCAAGCAAATGATATTCTTGTGAACAGCAAACTTACTTTCTTGAGTAGAATACGCGCCCAGAGGGTTCCACATTCATAGAGGAATGCAAGCTTTTGTCTTCTTTATCCAGATCTGTTGCGCGAGAATTATATGAAAAAGTATCAGGCCTCCATATTAAGTTGATGTCATCTCTAGCCAGATGCACAGTTTTGTTCACGACGTTTGCTAATCGAGGGTCGTACCATTCCTGACGAAAGTACATGTACGCATCTAGTTCCTGTACGGGATAAGAGAAATCTTTACGACTTATCCTACCACAAGTCTCCTATAGCACAGTGGTAGAGCATTTGAAGTACTTAACGGAGCTATTGCGTGCGCACGGAGTTCTCTTTCTTTTTTTTCGAGTATACCTGTGACATTCACTAAATTACACTGAATAACCTTGTATTTGTCTCAAGAATCCAGGAAACGAAACTGAAAATTATTCCTTGATTTGATTCTTAAATTCATGCCATCGACTGAGATTAAATCGCTGGATTTATTTTTCCACCCTACTGTCTGTTAAGCATGAGCTGCTTTGTAACTTGCAGTTTAAGATAATGCCTTCCCTAATTTTAATTGCAGAAAATGTTTGACTGCAAACAGTAATAATAGTTGAAAATATCCTACCATGTTGACCTCTTCTATTTTCCCAAACGATTCCACATAAAGATCCACCAATATCAACGTGTAATTAACTAAAAAAGCGCCACAAACGAAATGGTTAATTTCGGGTATATGAATTGTTAATTTTGGCAAATATTTTCCCTACGATTTCAATTGGCTGTTTTTTTTATTTTTGCTCTCAGTTCCTTTGTTATGATTGGTCTTAGTGATAGCGTTGGGAGAAGTTTAACGACACTCAATGTGGGTGCGAATGGGTCAGGCAGGATTTGGTATCGATGTGTACTGGGTATGGATCATTTTCAAGGCGTTTCACACACAAGGGAAATGAAAGTTACAAAATTAAGCATTGATTTTCCATCAATAATCGATTATCTGACCAACTGATGGTCATTTTTAAACTACAGGTCATACCTCCATCGTTGGGATGTGATCCTCTGTCGTAACCGGAGTTGGTCAAATGTTCTTTAAGCACTTGGAGTGATGAATCCGCACTGAAATTACGAGAGCAAGTAAGCGAGTGGTCACAGATAATTACAATATCAAATATTATATCAAGCTGGAAATTAAACAAAGAAAGTCCTTGTGTGCACTACCTGCGTGCCGTCTCGACCATGATTCTTGTCAAGGACCTCATGAGTAACTTTAATTTATGAACTACACAAGATTCCTTCTTCTTTGAAACCATCATAGGAGACAAGCAAATTAACCAGATACCAACACAACATAAATATTGGCCAGTATTGATTTGGATTGATCATATTCAAGAGTTATCATTTACTTAAGAATTCAGTTATTAGATGTAACGTTTTGGTGCAAGAATCAGTAATGTAATTTGTGATAATCGGTATTGACACAAATTAATATTTTGCCGACACGGAACAGAGAACTGGGTGCGAGCGTAGTACGCGAAAGCTCATGGGTAGTATGTTTGTAAGAAGAGACCGTTGAGAAACTTGTGGCATTCTACGGTCAGCCTTGCCACTAGCACTTTCCCATTAGGTTTATTTTTATTGTGTAATTAGCCTGATATGATTTGTTTTCTTCATTCTCTTCATTGTTTATAGATCAACCTTAAAACCCCAAAGGTGGCGCCACTGCAGTTGGTCGGGGGTACACGGTCCCTATTTTCCTAACAAGAGGTTTTTGGGGTTTACGTGTCCGGCTTTGGCGCATGTAGGACGTTACTTGATGTATCTCTTATCCACTTTGTTGTAAACCCATTGTCACAATTAAAATATATCTTGGGCCTAGCTGACCAACGCGCCCATGCCTCAACCTTTGAGTGTGTTCGGTTGTGTAGTGAAGGCAAAATTTTAGTTTTTCAACACTAAGGTTGACTTTTGTTAATTATCATTTAAATTGATTATTCTATAGATGTTAAGACTAGCAGTTTAGACTTGAGGAAAAATTTTAAATAAGACGTTACCTGGTTACAGTAAGAAGGAATGCTTGATACACAATCAAAATGAGCAACGCCATCCCAGCAAGGGTCCGCCAACAACCTTTTTGTTTATATAAGAGTAAGGAACAATAAAGTCAGAGAGTGTTCTCAATCTAGGTCTCCTAATATCTTGCCGGCCATATGTATGCAAATGGTTCCAGCGGTTTGAGAAGAGTACAGCCTCTTGCTACAAAAAAATGAGAGGAAAGGGAAATCTTTCCAAAGATATTGATTATTCGAGTAATTCAAAGCTGGGTGTGGAAAGTTGTCCATGAGACTGCCTTGGTATTGCGTTCCTATTCTCGATAATTGGTTGTGGAAAGTACGTATACGCATCACCCCGTCCCAGCCAAACAGATGACTTGGTCACTCACGCTTTCCCGCACCTTTAGTCGTTCACTTGTAGAGTTACTTTCGTCAGCTCTCATCGTTTTTTTTTTTGTCCTAATCAACTTTGTACTGAGTACTTTGATTTGTTTCCATGGAAACACCCTAAATGAAAGCCTCTATCATTGCCAACACTGTAGATAGAATTTAATCTTTCTCATTTCCAATGGTTCTTCCCTGAGTCGATGCAGCCTTGATTCACGGTTCAAATTGATAATTTATCTTGATTATTGTTCCTTGTCAGCCGACATGTTTTGTGATGGAATATAAAATAGATGTTATTTTTCAGCTTGCTTTCAAAGTTATTAACCCAGCTTAATAATTAACATCAAGCACGTCTCGTCGTTTCTTCCTAGCTTTTGTTTCAAATGGTTATGATTTTTGCAGCTTTTTTGTCAATTGAAAATATTCTCTTCGTCCACAAGACTATCCCGGTATGCCACACAAGCGCATTTTTACCCTTTACAGAGGTATTTTCCTTAAAATATCTTACTGAGTAGTTTTGTCATTCTAAAAACGCGAAGTTGAATTGAAAGAATTTTCTAGAAAAATATGTACAGTGAAAGAATTGATGAATTGATGAAATGCAAATTCGACTCTTCAAAAATTTTGGTTCAAGTTCAGATCATTGGAAATAAACGAAGATTCAATATCGCTACCGTGGGAAAAAAAAGTTTGTAAAGCAAACAGCGTAGAAGAGTCTGTTTACATATTCCAGAGGTTTGAAAGTAAGTGCGATATTCCGTATTATAATAAAAATTATTCTGAGATGGCTGTAGGCTCGTCTTGTTTATGTCGCTCTCAACCAAACCTTTACTTTTCCACGGACAAACTGACTCAAAACCTGTTTATCACACACACCCATAAAAGTACTTACCGTGTTAAAACAGTGACGAAATACAGTTTAGAGACACCTTCGTTCCAATAACTCTTAGTTTTGGTAAGGTAATATGGAATAATAATATTCCACAAAGAGGTGAAAAAAAAAGTATCAACTCCGCGGGAAACCGATTGATCTTCACAGAGATAGTTCTCTAAAAGGTCTTTGTAATACTCAATGCAATGAATTGATTTACCACTCCAGTGCTGCTAGAAGTTTGAAGTATCGTGGATTTATGCATGAAACGATCTTCCAGATTAGAGCTCTCCCGTAGGACGCCTGAGCAGGTGTTCGCTCCTGATAGCGCGGCATAACTAAGTCGTTTGTGATAAACTTTGAGCTTGCGATTGAACAATAGACTTCAAATTTGTTTTATTTCTCGCTAATGTAAAATTATACACAAGGCTTTGCGACAAAGGTAATGACATACCTAAATTTCACGAAACAGAGCTACATAATTTTTGATAGCTATTTGGTAACATTAAAAACAATTTGTTGGTGGTAACTTAGAAAATATTTGTCTTTGCAAGAGCAGATATCCGTGTTTTAAAAGCTTCTTAAGTAACACCATGGGGCTCTGTAGGTAATTTCTATATTGTTTTCAAAATTCTTGATGGTGATTGGCCACAGGGAAACATCTGAACGGTTGCCGTCAGGTGGGAAGCCATTGTATTGAACCCTAGGTTACTTGCTTCATTATCACCTGTGCTCCATTGGCAAACTAGGTATCACTCCATTGTAGTTAAATATTATTGTTGTGTGCGCCTGTTACTCTTTATTATCGTCAGCTGAGAGCTTTAGATAATCCCCTTTATTTTACGAACATGCTGTGGCAGCATGCTTTCCGTTAACGCACACGCAGCACGTGCATTAAATAACTTGGAAGGATCTTCAAGTCACGCGAGGTTCTAAATAAATATGAACTTCTACGACGCAAGTCAATGAATAAAGCAGACTACTTATTCATATACTATCAATTACCCTATCCCTTGGCGGAATACTTACAAAAAAAGGTTTCTCACTCTTGCCATTGCTTTAATAACGGGAGAGTTTGAAATCCCATCTAGGTCAAAAGCGGGTTTGCGTCATTGTAGTTCCGCTGAACAAAGCAGAAAACACGTATATGAACTCATCATGATGATTCCTGGAGGTCTTAGAGCGGAGACGCACACTTCCTAAAAGTGTTAATCCTGGGAGAAGTTTCGAGTTGGAAAACTTTTCAATATCTCGGTATAGACAAAACTGCAAGAACACCCGACTTTCCTTGGGAAATGTATGAACGAAAATACGAACCACTTTCACTCAAGCTTGATGTTTGAACTGAAAGGATATACTTTATTTTTTCAGTCAACTTAAAATGGCAACATGGAAGAATAACTCATTTTATCGAGTTGCCAGGCTAAATACTGCAACACACAAGACTTACAAATATTTTAAAAAATAGCAGTAATTTGACAGGCCCAAGAAAAAATTAGCGTGGGAGAAATAATTACATCAGTCTAACGTAAAATTACACAACATTTATAAACAAAGGTCTCCAACAACTTTTGAGAGAACAATGAAACAAAGAAAGCAACCTTGGGCTAGTTAAGTTAGAAAGAGAGATCTAGAAACATTCAGCCTTTTTGAACAAATACTTGACTATACTTGACACAAGGATTATCATTGAGGCAGAGTCTTTACTCCGCCTTAGCTCAAAGCATCAAGATTATAATAGGCGAACAGTGAATTGAATTCAATATAGACAGAGAGATAAAAGATTTACACGCACAATAAATTATGCTTACTCTTGTGAATAACCTAAATGGCATACTCTTTATTTCTTTCGTAAGGCACGCATATACTTCAGAGGTTCAGAAAATCCTAACATTATTATTGTGTTTATATTTACAGCTTGCTTTCACTCTTTCACTCAAACCAATGATCAGTATGCGTAGATATGATCCATTTACAATTTTAATACATTGTATAGAGGATACGTAATGAGAATTTAGAGAAATGTTAACTACGGGGGAAATTGTTCAGATATTGTCTTAAGAAAGGCTACAAAAAAGAGTATGTTCTCTAGTAAAGATAATTAGCTTTCAGATCTCGGCCACGGAAGGGTTAAAAGTCTTCTGCCGACATCGAAAGTGATTTACATTCAATCGACAGAAAGAGTGCTATTTCGAAAAAAAAAAAAAAAAAAGGAAGGTTTCGGTGCGGGAGAAAAATTACGATTTTGCCAAATATTGTAATTATCATACTAATGTAGTATGCGAATATAAACTGAGTCGAAAACGCCCGCAAAAAATCAGAACTCCTTCGACAGGATTTGAACCTGTGACTTAAACTCCGGTATTTTATATTCTGTAGGGTAAAACATTAATGCCGTGGAAGTAAGTCACCCAATATGCAACGTTATACAGCAAAAACGTCAAAGGAAATAAGACGCGGCTTGCTTTGTCCACCTTAGCCGAGAGTTCCATTGGGCGAGAGTTTCTTTTGTTGAAGAAGCAGCGAACAACTGTGTCGTAATGCGCCTGTGTGTTTTCCTTATCCATTTCGACCCAAGCTTCGTCGGGCAAAGGCGGACGCATCTCCCCAAGACTCAAGTGCCTGTATTCATCTCTTATCATATGAAAAAGTTCACTATGTTCATTTGATTCCCAGTGATTCAGGCAATTTCCTCCCTCGTTGTTTGTCTGTGTGCCAGTATCTGCTTTTCGTGGCCTCAGAATTTGCACACCAGACACGTAACGGCAGTTTAACCCTCCTTTGTCCTTCACCGAATTCTATTCGGGAGAAAATGCAATTAGAACTATGCCAGGTGGGAAATTGGAAAAAAAATCTAATCATAGCACAATATGAACGGCGTAGCATGCTAGTATACGGGGTAATATGAGGCATAACAAATCAGATTTCAGTACTGTATACTACGTTGGAGTACCTCACAAACTCAGCAAAAATTAAGAATTCATTAACAAAGTTTAATCCCCCTCCTCGATTATTTTTTACCTTCCTTGGTTCCTTGTCCCCAGAATTCCTCATCCTTCTGTTTTTTTGCTCGTCTTCTATTTTCCTGGCATTTGCCCTCCACAACCTGTCCACGACAATGCATTCCAACAGACTCAGAAAAATGATCGTGAAACACACCATCAGGTACCAGTCCATTCCTTTGACATAGCTGACCTGTGACAAAAATATTACAGGAACGTTGTCGTAGCAGAAGTCGCTAATCCACACAGCCAGTATGAACTACATACATCTATAAGTTTCTATGAATGGCTAGGTGTAATTGCAGCTAAATTTCAACTGTTTTCTCTCACGTGGTACATTGTGTTGAGATTAGTATTTTTCAATTAAAATAAGATTAATTTTATTATTTATTTTGATACATCGTTTCAGGCATTGGCAGTAAGGAAATCGGCGGACCATAATTAACATCTTGTTTTGGAAATGATCTGATACTTATTAATAACAAATGAAGTGCTTATGCAGCAACAACTGTTCTCAGTAATGACAGTTGCCGTCTAACCGCACACTGTACGGGACAGATTCACACCCTGTGTTTCCGATTTAAGCAGGCCCGAATAAAAGTCTGTATCTATTATTCATTTAAATTCCACAATATGCATGCTTAGAAATTCCCCTTCTCCTTAACATTCTCATCTTTGTAAATCCATCATCAGATGGATTTAAAAATACGTCAGCACTAGGTGACAGGCGTGTCATTCCTTGTAAGGTTTGGCTTGATAGTATATAATAATGCAAGGGGATGTCAAATCACATTTACCACCACAAACAAAAATGCCATAACCCAATCTCTTTCCAGAAGAATGTCCTTTTGATCGCCCCAAACTCCTAGTGATAAATAAAGACTGCTCCCTTACCTTGGGAAGCATTCCGTTGGTATAGCCGAGCAAAAACACGATGGTCAGGATAGTGGTGATACCCACAGTAAGTCTACTAGCGCTGTCATCAGGCCTCATCCAGAACACGATCCAACTGAGCATGACCAGAAATATACAAGGGATGTACACCTGAATAATGTAATAACCCATGCGTCTCTTGAATGGAAATGTCACTGTTAACACAGTGAAGTTCCCTTAGGAAAAATGAAAGACGAGGAGTCAGGACTGTTTTGAGAAAGGGCAGCCAGTCACTTCTCGACACATCGTTTGATCAGACCATGCCTGTGTCTAACTAATCAAAGAGACAGACTTTCTCAAAAGCGAGCCCCCCTCCCCCCCCCCCTTCCTTCCTACCGCCCCCTTTCCACCCCTAATGAGGAGTGGTTTTGACTCAGATGAAAGAAATCACAGAAGTAACAAACACTCAGGATTAACCTCGAATGCCTCCTCGCGCCAGAAAAAATTACCAATTGAATTTGAAGAAATTTAAAGGATATGTGTCTAAATTCGTGTACTAGATTCAGTGTCTTTACCACAAAGGCAACATTGTCCTCAGGATATCAATTGAAGGGACTTCATTAACCATTCCTTGAAATTCTGAAAGTTCCTTGGACCACCTAATTATTGTCAGTGAGAGTTCGCCTCGTGTTCGAGCCGACGTAAGTTACAGTCAAGCGGGTTCAGTTGGACATGCGTGCTAATCATATTTATCTCGCACTCTTACCGGTGGAAAACTCGTTGACTTCAGTGGACAACGTCGGGTCACCGACGGAAAATTGTGCCATCTCTTTGTTAGCAATTGATATCGTGGGATTCCTCCATTTTAAGAGAATGTCATCGTCTGTATGGCCATCTAATGACAGGTAAAAATTAAAAAAAACAAAAACAAAAGTAAAGAACAAAAAAACACGAGAGGATCGACTTCTATTCGTGGACATTTCGGAAAGTCAACTGAATAATTTAGTAGAAAACTGTCCCTCGGTATTTCTTCATGTATAATTTGGTTTTATTAACCCTTTACACCCTAACATCAGTATCTACATTCTCCTTACTCTTCTATATACGTTTCCTTTAGTACTGACAAGGAGAATTTGTTGAACAATCTAAGCTCCTTTGGGTGGCGATCATTTCCTTTATTCTCATGATCTTAAGGATTGATTCAGCCATATTACTGTAAGGAGAAATTAGATGCTGGTCACTCTTAGAGTTTAAAGGGTTAACTGGCTTGATAAATAAATAAAATTGGTCATCATAAGAGATTATAAGGCTGACGTGCGAGCGTTAGCCTTTCGTAAGGGCGAAGGATTTGCCCACTAAACACAGAATGAATGCTACCAAAAAACAAACAACAACAAACAAAATCGAGAAAAATAAATACTCACAGCTTCCAAATGATAATTTACACTGCTGTGTGTCCATAGGAAAATCGTGCAAATCCATTTCACATGAAGCGATAATGTGTGTACTAAAAGGAAAAAAAAAGATCCCTGATACGAGGACTAAGTGTTTGTTGCTTTTCATCGTGTTGACGTATAAAAGCATTTAACAAATTATTTCTTATTTTACAGATAAATTTGAACTTAAATATCGTCTGAGTGATAGAACCCCTAAGATATTTGATGAATGATCCTTTCTGAGTGTGTAACCGCTTCGAAACTAAGTTCTCGCTCATTATCATTTACAGTGCACTTACCTTCTGCTGTACATAATGAAGCCTCTCCGATCGATTCTGATGACGCTATGAACCTCAGTGTCGGGCAGCATCAGGTCCGAGGTTTTCGCGTTGTAGCAGTAGGAGTCTGGTAACCATAGGCGAGAAATATAATCTCGTTGCAGCACTTGATTGTCAGAGGTTATGTACTTAGCGATACGATCCTCGAACCACATCTGACGGAAATACATAAAACCTGGAAATTCCTAAAAAACAGAGAATGGAAGGGAAAATGTTTAGGGATCAGTAATTATTTATCACGGGGAGGGGGGGGAGGGAGGGACAGAGGAGTTTGGGGGGGGCCACATGGTTTCCACTGCCAATAAGGAGGGAGGGATCGTTAGAATATTACAGAACCTTACGAGGGAATTGGGTAAATTTTACAGTGACACAACCAAATTCTGCCGAACTCCCCCCTTCCCCCCCCCCCACAGGTGATAACTGATAATAGTCGTGGAGAGGTGGAGCGTCGAGCAGGTTCAATATTAATGTTGCCATCACCAATGACGAAAGAGTGTTTTAACGAACGGCGTGATGAAGAAGGATAATAAATGTTGTGTTCGGTTTTTCACTTTTAATTTAAACTTGGCGCCATTCCCCTCAAGAGGGCTCGACTAAACCTGCGGCTCATGGAACGTGAAAAAAACAAACAAAAAGCACATTTAATATAAAGTCAAACCTTAGCATTGTTTAGTGGTTTGAGGAAAAAAAATTAACTCCAATTTTAAGGATAATTGTTGAATAATGATCTTACCATGTTTACTTCTTTTATGTTTCCAAACGACTCCACATAAATATCTAAGAAAACCTCAGTAGGTTTACCTACAAATAATAAATTGCTTGTAAAACAATATTGTTTTGATTTATTATTTCATTTTACATACTGGGAGATCTGTCAAATGATTACAAGAAATAAACAAAGCGAATGGTTCTGAATCAAAGGGAACAGCACTCGAAGCGTCGTACACTCTTCTTATTTAACACCATCTTTTCATTCTCTGATGAAGTTCACGATGTGGAAATATCCAGGCTCACCTTATTCATTTCCAAGACATTTCTTGGAAATGACATTTATACAACAGCCCATCGCCTGAGCTCTTAGTCAATTGACCACATTCATTTCCTTTTTAGGCCAAAATAGTAAAACCAGCTTATCGGGGAGGGGTTCCCCTTTCCCCCTTCTCCCTTCCCCACCCCCCACACTCTCCCTTCCCCATTTCCCCCCCTCATTCCTTTCCCCCCACCCTCCTTAACCATTCCTCCTTCCCCAATCACTCCGTCTCCCCTCCCCCCTCCCACCCTCACTTCCCCTTTTCCCCTTCAAAGATAGAGTAACAGGAAAGGTTGAGCTTCATCCTCTTATGTAGTAACCCGGCAAAATACAATTAATCTTAAAACGTAGCATACACTAGTTTGTGATACAACATTGTGTGAAAAGGGATTTGTCCGTGTTTTTCCATTTTCAAATGTGAATTTTACTGTAGCTTATCAAGTTCTTTATCAAGTAAAATGTGTCCTCATAATAGAGTGACTTTGTCACTGAGTAATCACCTGATGTAGCATTTGGCCTGACTGTCTTGTCGTACTTTGTAGTTAGATACTCCACCAAACTTATGGGAATATTTCCTGTTCCATTTAACGCTGGCTCAGATTTATTTTCCTCACTACAATCCATTAAAGGTAAAAACGTAATGATAATCATGCAATAAGATTGGTAAAAGTGACGCATGGTCTTGTGAAGTTCAGCCCCTCTTTGTGAAACCAGTAACCGCATGCGCTACTACTTTGAAACCTCATTTTTTTTCAGCGTACTTTGATTTAGTGTCGTAAAACCAAATTAATCACAACAGCCAATCATAGAAGGGAAAATATCACGAGGAGCCAATCTACGAACTGGGACTGTCGGTCAGTATTTGAGATTCTTTTGTCTGGTGTGTTTCCTCTCTTGACATTGTATCTAGAGTGGTCACTTGGCAAAGTTAACGAGACGGAGAACAGCACAATGGCATCGGAGGACTCGGACTGTCTATTTCCGACACTCACAATACTCATATATTATTCATATTACACAGATGTCTCACCGTCCAGCAACATTAACAGTAATTACGGAGAAAATAACGACATTTCTAATCCAACACGGGGCCATGATTCTCTTTTGTATCTTTTAGTTTTCAAGGATAACTATGCAGTTCTTCCTCTCCAGCACTAATTTCCTCTATTTCTGTTAAAAAAGAGAAAGGGCATACTGCTTTCAGTTCTAAATAAAGTTTAAAAAAGCTACGAGTATAAATATTGAAATTCATGAGCTAACGCCAGACAATGAATAGTTGTTTCTGCAATCGAGACTTAATCATTTACATCACTGCAGATCAGTGATATAACCCCATATTTGCATATATGCAAAAGTACAACTTAAAACCTAGTTCAAAGTTCAATTTTGATCTGTCCGTCAATGAATGAGAACTATAAATGTTTCGTCTAATGCAGTATGGCGAGCTTTCAATCAAGACTGATGCCTGCCAAGCATTGAGACAGGTGTAAGGTAACAATGAATCGTTTAGCTCTCCAAGAGATTGACTCGTAACTTGTTCTTAGTGTATTTTCCAACAAACTGATGAGGAGAAGGGAAAAAGTCATCAACTATGCAGCAATTTCTTGAGATATCACCAAACTTCTCTTAACTAGTTTATTACGAAATGTAATGCACCTGGAGAGGAGAATTACGAAATAAAACTTGGATTTTAATGGCCTACAGGTATAACTCCCATTATTGTGAAATACTTACTGCAATTATCAGATATGCAATAAGTATATATCAGCACGAAAATAGAACCTTGAATGTTGCGCAATGCTCAAGTTTAAAATATCATTTTTCATCGCTGTTGTGTTTTATGACTCAGACCTTGTGCTCTGTTCTCGATTTTAATTTCAATTCATGTCACGCTGTTTGGTCAATTTGTATTCAAAAATGTACTGTTTGTAACAACGAGTAGTTTCTCGAATTCTCTTCTAGAATATGGAACACAATGCTTTTGTTTCTGATAAAAAGTAAAACCAAACATCGTTAGTTTTGCTTTTTATCGTAGTAAAATATTTTCCTCTTGAGGAAAGACAAGCCCTAGCGGAATATTTTTTTTGCTTCTGTCGCAGCGTCGCAGCCCACAAGCTCGTTTTCAAAGGAACAAAAAAGGACAAAAGGACAAATGCTCTAAATCAGCTAAGCTCGGCATTTTCTAGATCTAGTTGCTTCTTTCTTTCAAAATACAAGCGACGGCCTATTTGCTGGGTTATTTGTTAGTTAACTTATCGAAAAAAGTTTAAACTTGCCTGATAATGCGAGGAAACCATTTCGTTACTGAAATCGAACAACCCTCTTGAATGTACACCGAACTCTAGAAAGCAATAAGTCATTTCTGAAAACCTTGGCAAATACCACACAAAAGACGTTACCTTGTCTTTATGAGGTAAGAAAAACTGTTAATGTAAGATGCAATAGATGTTATCACAATTTCCATGAAATCCCATTAATTATTAATTGCCTCACAACATTCATCAAAAACCTTATTTCGCGCTTGCTCAATTTGTTTCCATTTGAAAATGGGTATCATGTCGTGAAATTCTTTCCTCGACGTGTGTTAATTCTGCCCGGTACGCAGTTTGACATTTTGTTAACTCCAATCCGTTGTCTATCGGCACATATATATTGGCTTGCCACATTAACCTTTACTCTGGCATAACGTGATAAGCACAGCATTTAAACTGTTTGCGAATACATCGTTTGATTGCCTACCACACGAAACCAGAAAAGTGTTGATGCTACTAAAAAATCCATCCGTAACAAAATGAAATTGCACGTGTCTCGATTATTTTCATGAAAAAAGCATGATCAGTTTGGCGGACTGGCCAAGGACAAGGCTCATATTTTTTCTTCTCTTTTAGTTTGATTAAGGGCCGTTTTTTTTTGCCGATTCAATAACCTAAACATGTTATAGTGAAAGTTGATTTATGACCTCTTTCATGGAAAACGGAGGGAAATCGTATAACTGATAATTACCATACGATAAAAAATTCAACGTAACGAAGTGAATAAAGTTTGGTGATTTTCTGTCCGTAATACACGATCCGTTTTATCTAGCAATCATCGTTATAATTACAAAAACCATGTTGCATTTCTCTTAAGCACTCAGCATATGCCCTCCCTATTTCCTCGGCTCAGAGAGAAATTGAATCCAATTCGGAATGAGTTGTTGATGACGTAAACAAAAAAACAAAAATATTGGCTGAACAACTTCCTTCAAAGGAGAAAACTTTTCAGTTGCCAAAATGGGTTGTAATTAAAAAAGTAATGAAATTACATGTATCTTAAGGTGAAATTGTAATCTTGATTATAAAAAAAGCATTTTTATTAGTCACAGGAATTCTAGCAAACTTGCCTAAAGCCATAGCATGAAAATAAATTTATCAAATATAACATTGTTGGAAACCTTTGTTAACTGAAGTTTAGTTTAAGGCCCATCTCATGATGAAGCACATTAAAGTAAATTCTCCTGTTAATGATTCAACATATTGAATAAAAAGTTGTTGCGAAAGAGCAGGGTCTGTTATATCATAAAACGTAATCAAATCTCATGGCATAACTTGGGTGGATGAAACATTTTTGACGGGAAACTTTTCTAAGACGATGGCACCTTAGGCGCGTTAAAGCAGGAGCTTAACTCCTCTAGGAAAAGGGTTTTACAGAACATGGGAGATTGATAAAAGTACAGCACAGCTTTATTATTGAACTGACAGGCAGATTTGGATTGAAGAGCATACTACGAGCAGTATTCAAAAGCTTTGTTGTATTTCCTTGGTACGTCGCCCCTCGAAACTTAATGTAATAAGGGCGTGAGTTGCTGTTTAATAAATATTCGAGTATGGAAAATATAAAGATTTTTTTTCTTCCTTTTTTTCGAGAGTCTGTTTTTCCTTAGTTAATATACAGTGCGTTTTCACTTGCCTATTGATTTTCCACAGGTTCAGTTAACAGTGCTCCTTCCACCAGTGGCTTAATATCGATTTCAACTGAAATGACATCGACACTGCTAAGTTCAATTTACTTTCGATTCTGACTGGAGAAAATTCTATCAGATGGAACTTCAATCGCTTAAAAGAATCATGATGGCTTAACCTACCTGGCAAGTCTATAAAATTAAACGCGATATTCTGAAGTCAGCAACCAGTTCTTTGGAAAATACGCGATGTTACCTGAGTGTGAACTCATGGATACAAATTACGGAATTTCAGGTGGTCTCAGGATGGGTTTGTGATGCAAATTATGACCTCGTTAACACATGTTTTATACTTTAATACAATTAAATAAAATGCTAGCAAAACACTCAAATGGAAACTTAAGCCACGAAAAGCACATATGTGAATAAAGAAAAAAGTTACAAAGCCTTCATTAACACCAAAAAAATTATATATGAAGTCCATTGCACAAAAATTAAGATGTTGTTAAGTACTCGAAATTCTTACTCCTAAGTTAAAATTAATATCACGCCTACTTATTTCATATCGACTTGAATGTAAGTGGATTCACCTGTAACATTACAATGACAGTTCGAATTATTTTTCACGCCTCTGACAGTTTGTGTTTCATCAACTTCTCTCTCTAGTGAAAACGATGTATCAACTGCTATGAGTGTAATTTTTGCAGAGGAACTGTCAACCTTTAAAGTGTTTTTGTAATCTTCCCATTTCAAATCGTGGTTTTAAAATTTTCAAGTTACTGCTTGGCAATTATTTATTCATGGTTGTCATCCTTTGCGTTGATAAATTATTTAAAATAACACCGTTATGTTTGTAAACGATTTCAGTTAGACATCCTATTTATACATAACTTCTGACCAACATGTCCGTGGCGACAAAGGCATTGATAAAAACGTCGGTACTGCTCCTAGTGTATGGGTTTATCCAATTGTTTTGCCTCTTTTTTTTTCCCAAATGACGCCGAATATCTAGACAGTTTCATAAACATATGTGGAGGGCATTCTAAAAGCAAAGTGTTTTTTAAATGCAAACGAACAACTTTCTTAACACCAGAAATTGAATAGAAGGTAAGGCGTAACTTAAAAAGTGTAAATATTCTAAGGCGTCACTCTTGATTGATTGCCTTTGAAAAATTACTATTAATGCAGATTCCATTTTAAAATGTCTAACCTTTACCAAGTTTAATTGATTTAAGAGACTTTTTGATATGTCTTTCAGTACCAATAGCCCTCAAGTCACGGCTTTAGAAAGAAAATGTCGTTTTTCAGCATAATTTTTCCTAGGCCTTGAAGGATCCCGGAAAGAAACATCTAACAACATAAACTATTCTATCTCTTAGGCTCATACATTTCATGTACAGTTGTAATCTCGATCATCGCCATCGATTTTTCTTAATGATGAAGCTACACAATGTTGGGTAACTATAACGTAAACCCGTGCAGCTTACAGCTTTGTGTTCAGTACTGTCAAAAATACAACAGAAACTTTAGGCAGTAAGTACGGCAACGCTGAGCAAAAGGTCTATTGAAAAATGAATTAACTCTTTTGTTTAGAATTTCTCGAATGGCAAGATGTACTTGCCTTCTCTTGGCATCACTCCTAAACTACAGCATAACACGGGAGCGCATTGTGGAGTTCCTGATAGAACCTTAAATAATTCGCCGTCTGGGTCTCTGCCCTAAACTTGGAAAACTTGGTGATTTCACGTTGTTGTTTTGTAGAGGAAGGCTAAGAAATGTACAAAGTTTTAAAACGCACGTGCTAAGCCATTGTTCTGCCCATTAAATCTTTTGTTTCGCCGCGTCCTCTCTCGTATTTGCTTAGGTTTACAGTCAAGTCGCCTGACAGTCATCTCGCCAGAAGTCATGTCGCCCGAAACCTGAGTCATGTTGCCCGAAATTCTAGTATAATGTCGCCCGAAAAAAAAAGTCAAGTCGCCTGAAGAAACAAATACTAAAAAGATCTGAATTTCAGACTGTTAATAGGCAATAACGTTGAGAAATTTTTATCACTACAGCGCTCTTTGTTTCCGACAATACCATGAAGATTCTTAAAGTTTAAATTCTTTCCAACAACAAAATACAGCGTTATTCGTTTGGTATGTAATCGTTTCTTACTCACAGACGTTTCATAAGCTTGAGAAACTTTTTCTTGGTTTCTAACAATACCATGAAGACTTTGACTACACAGAAATCGGTCGTATGTTCGGAATTGAAATATGTTTGAGTAACGATTCTAAAAGCGTGCTTCGTTTCTAACAACAAAGGGAAGCGTTCTCCGTTTAAAACAAAAAAATGAAGCGTTGTTCGTTTGGTACGTACTCGTTTCTTACTCACGGACATTTCGTGAGCTTGAGAAACTTTTTCTTGGTTTCTAACCAATCCATGAAGACTTTGACTACACAGAAATCGATCATATGGTCAGAAAGGCCATATGGTCGACCGTAACCGTCGCACTGTAGGGCTTGTTGACGTGGTCTAACTTCATGATCACACTCAATGCAAGGATGAATGCTCATTTTGATCAGTTCGTATTCGTATTGTAGCTAGCTTTGCCCTCTTCATATATACTTTGATCGGATCAAAATAGACATGCGACCACCAGAGGAAACAGAATACAACTACATAATTTTTGCCTATTCTGATCTTAAGGGAAATGATGCTATCAGACTGCTACTGTGAAAAAAGTAACAAGCATAAACAATAGACTGTTATCTTAAAAATATCACACTTACCTTACACAAGGTAACAAGTTAATTTTATTTGTATGGTACTCGCTTTACCTTTTACCGCCTTGTTGAACGCGACAATCGACATTCGTTTACCAGGTGTTTTCATCTGTTATTGTTAAGAAAGTCACAAATAGACACATCAGAACTTTACTTGTATGTTACGCTGCATCCATGCATTTGTTGTTATAGAAACGAACAACGTAACGCTTCCCTCTGTTGTTAGAAACGAACAAGGCTTTTAAAGTCGTTACTCAAACATATCTCAATTCTGACCATACAATCGATTTCTGTGTAGTCAAAGTCTTCATGGCATTTTAAGAAACAAGAAAGAGTTTCCCAAGCTTACGAAATGTCCGTGAGTAAGAAACGAGTACGTAGTAGGGGGAGGGAGGAGGTATGACAAGACGATTTGATTGTAAATTGGCAGCCGTAAAGAGTTTCTAAATCTGACGTTTCGAGCGTGAGCCCTTCGTCAGGGGGAATAAAGGTTTTGTTGGTCTTATGTGGTTTACACACTGAAAGACGGAGTTACGCTATTGGAGGAAACAAAAGAAAATTACGCCTGCTCTTTTAGCTACACAGCCATTCTGGTTGCCAAACAAACAGTATTCTTAGGATTTCAAGTAACAACAATGATTCCGTGTACCTGACATTCACACACTAAAATCAACACAGTAAAACATGTAACCGTTCGACGTTCCTTTAATGGCAGGTGTCGATTCCACATCCTAACACAATGTGTCTCTAAAGAATTACTTAATTACTTAGCATTGCAGTTAAATAAAGTTATTTCTACAATTCAAAATAATTGCCTTTCTTATCATTCTTCGTCATCAAATTACCTAGATTTATTTTTCAGATCTCATACTAATATTTACTTGAATATATTCAGTACAGTGGACGGGTTTCATACTATTCTGGTTAGGGGCCGCTCATTATTTGTCGCCGGGGAGGGGGGCGGGGGTTCGTAGGATTTCGGTTTTGTCGCGGTAATATTTACCTGATTTCTCCCTCCCCCCCCCCCGGACAAGGCTCTGTAACATTCTCAAGAGCCACCCCTACCTGCCTCATTGGCTGTCAATTTTCTTCAAACCTTCCTTTATGCTCTGTTAGCGACGACTGGTCCCCCCCCCCTCCCCCGACAAGGCTCCATAATATTCTCAAGAGCCACCCCGCACCTGTCTCATTGGCTGTCAATTTTCTATAGATCTTCCTTTATGCTCTGTTAGCGACGTCTGGCCCCCCCTTCCCCCCAGGCGATAAAAGGTGGTCCCTTCACACGTACGCAGAATACTGAATATCACACATAAATAAAGTCTCAAAAAAGAGAATGCTAACCGTAGTTCCTTAGAGATTCGTCGTTATGTTGTTGGATTACTAATTATTAAAAAAATAAGCACTACGAACGGATTCTAGTCAATTGTCTTGTTTTTCTACTATTTCAGCAGTTTCAGAACTTTACCTCGAGACATGGACCGGAGACACAAACCTATTTGTCAAAGGTAGGCAAATTAAAACAGAGGGTAAATTTGCTGCAGGTAAAACCCAAACTTTGAAGCGGATAATTAAGAGACCAGTTCTCTGACATTTACAGGCTATCAACTACTGATTTTAATAATTAACTACCTTTCAACCTTACTTCTTTCGTTTACTTTAACATAAAAATATAATCAAAACATTTTGCCCCCCCTAATGAGAGCACGTTGTGACATTAAAACTGCACTGTTAATATCACATACACCCGGTCGTAATTCATCAGAAGATTTGCTCCCCAAACGAGGATTTATCACCTCAGCATTCACGCCAAGAATATCAATTTCATAACCACCGGGAATCCAATTTCCTTTGAATCAAGTTACGAAACTTTCAATACCATCCTGCGATTTCATGGATTCAAAATAACAAAACTTACTGTGTTACTTCGACAACTTTTGAGGTACAATTAGACTGAAGCAAATATGCAACCAGCACTCTTGTATGCAAAAGGCTTCCGCCCACTGTACTAGAGCATTCAAGTACGCCGAAGCCGTCCAAAACTATATAACAATAAATTTCCTTTGACAGTTTTTCCTAAGATTACTGGTGCCATAAATAAAATTAACATCACCATTATGCAACGCTCTAGGAGCTTCATTAAGGTCGTCACGAAATGCATCTTGTAACACGTAACCTTCAAACTCATTTAAATGAGAGTGTGTATACTATAGCCTTAATTTACAAACATCTTTTACAATATTTTCTCTTGTGTGTCTTTTTAACTTAAACAATTTTTGCGACCGTGTCACAACTAACACCACCTTCCCACCAGAATAGAGCGGGACAGTTCTTTAACCATCAGACTTACTTCATTCATCTCTTGCCAAGAGAGCGCCATTGAAGCGAGTTTAATGATCTTATATTTGAACATGACTGTGCTATCCTGTTAATTCTCTCGTGTTGTTTACCCCTTAACTCACAAAAGTGATCAAAATACAATTTCTTCTCACGATACCAATTCACTATCAACCTGAACAGGCGATGAGATTCGGCAAACGTATGTATGTTGCCATAATATAACACCAAATTCTCTGAACTGATAACAAAATTTAAGGCAATTAAAAATGAGAATTGCTCATCAGATCTATGAACTTAAAGGGTTAACACAAGCAGACTATGTACAACAAAAGAAACAATTCACAACTTGCTTGTAAAATAAATACCATGCCTTAGTCCGTAAAATCTGAGCCACAATCACAAAAGAAAAAGATTTTGAGTAACTAACTTCGCTTGAACACGCTCTCCTGGCGCGAGACTTATTTTCTGCTGATGTACTTGGCGAACACCTTCAAAGATCCCAGCTAAACAAATGATGTTTAACCAGCATGTCTCGTACTCCATCCTTCATGGGCTGGGTTACCTGCGGGCAAGCATTACATATAAAAAAACGTTTAAACCCGCGAGTGACAGGCCCCGGTTAACTATATAAAAATCGTCCGGTTGAGAGTATTACTGAAAATGGCTGTTGTCATTAACAGTGACCAAGACTTTGACAACCTAAGCGTTCATTCGTTCTCTAACCTCACGACCACACAACATGATTGTTTTATTTTTGTTTTGCTTTATTTCTACTTTCGTCATTGTTTCCCAGTTTGCTGTTTTTATTACTTCCGCTCCCCTTCGACAACAGACCTTTTCACGAAATACAAGATGAAATTCAGTCTTAAAGGCAGAATAAGGAAAAGTACTCACCTCCTACAGATTCCCGATGCATCGAAACAAAGAGAAATGAAAAAGAGAAAAGCACTTTGTTAGAAAAAATGATTAGAATCGTTGGAAAAAAGAACAACAATTGGAATGAAGGTTCTGGTTGATCACATGATCACAATCTACAGGGTACCTTTTGCCGATATCGAGCCTTCAAATAAAAGGCAGAGGCTTTAAGTTTTTATGCTCGCCTCTAAACGCACAATAAACCCACACATAAATAACATTAACTGATTAAATTGCATAAATGAGTCCCAACTCTCTCTAGCACAAGAGCCTAGCTATTAATGTAGTAAGAGTAGAGGTCACTAAGCATGCAAACAACAATGAAAATGACTTGAATGGCAAACTCAGCGATTACAATAAAGAGAAAAGTCCAAGTTAAAAGGAAAAAGAGCAGGGATTGTAGGAGCCATGATAAAAACATGGCGTGGACCCGAAGCGGACCAAATCTGGTCCTAATTAGGAAAAAGAGCATGTCTGCAGACAGATGAAGCCAGTGTTCCCATACATCATATTGAAAGGAACCACGTCAAATAGGCAACACCAAGACATCGTCAATCAGAACCAAAACATCTAACCTGCAATTTCTTTTGCTGCGCGTACCCCTCCACAACCTGGTATGAAACACACAGTTTAATACATGTATCCTTAAGTTCAAAGCAATAGTTTCATTAGGTAAACCAAAGGATTGCCATAATATTAATTCCTTCGGAAATCCCTATTGCACGGTGATACAGGCGCCGCAAGGGCAAGGATAACTCAATTGTACATGCCCCCTTAAGGACTTCGTAATTTTTAGTGAGGCAGTAAATCGTGCGGTTGTAAGGGAAGTCCTACATTTTCAAAGAGGTACCAATTCCTGAGCGACATGCAATTCTTGTGGATATTTTGTCCGGCATAATATCCTATGGGGTACCATAACACCTGAGGCACTGATTAAAGTCCCCAATCAAAAATCCCTGAAAAGCACGAGAATCCCCTTCACCTTCTTTTGTGGGAGTTCCCTCCCCCCTCGCCCTCAACCCCCCCCCACACCTTCTCTCCCCATGCAACAAAAGCTCTTAAAGGTACGATGCTAACTTGTTACCCTACAAGTTGAAAGAGAGGGTCCACCAATCCACATTTAGTTTTAATGACATCGTGTTTTAGTGACCACTGGCATGCAGACGAAGACAAACACAAATAAAATCGGGTCCCAAACTGAAGTTAGCACAAACAAAAGTTGCAACAATTGCAAGAAAAGATCGATAGGAAACTCTGTGACTCTAAAAACTACGAGAAACTGCGTGGTTTAGAAGAAAATTATCTCACCTAAATCACAATGTGAAATATAATCAACACATCGAACAGTATTAATCATTTAATTCCCAAGATCTCATCAGTAATTCTCCTCACTGTCTGCCATATAGTTCTTGTGATGTTAGTTTGGAGAATTTGGTATTAGAAGAACTAATAATCCCCTAATGAAGATTTTCTTTATTCTCATCACATGTCTGCTCGATATTATATTGATATTGTAAGGAGAAATTCTGTCTTGGTCACTCATGTGAGTTAAAAGGTTAATACAATCACTAGGATGTAAAAGGATTTTAAGGCGCAAGGTTAAACGATAGGTAACAGCAGAACCACTTACGGATATGAACACAAAGCAAACATGGTACAAGCTTTTGATGCAAATTCCAACGCGGTGTGAAGTGAACCGGCATAATCCCGAATTACTTGACTATTGAATTGACAAACGTTCTAAAAAAGGAACAAGAGGGAAACAGTACTTACAGTTTTACGTTCACTAGTAAGCTCCCAATCGATATTCAGATTGAATGCGAAGGATGCAAGTGTTCTGAAGAAAACAAAACAAATCTACTCATTACCACTCAGTAACGAAAAGTGTGCGGATATGTTCCTTTTTGATCTCGTAGGAGTTGAGGGTCATAAATGCGATCGGATAAAACGAGAAAACAAGGTTAGTAACATATTCATTGTATCTCAAGGTTCAACTAAAGAGGGGAGGGGAAGGTTTCAATCCAAACAAACTTTTAAATTTAACAAGTCTTAGAGTGATACCGCACGTACTAACTGAGAGAGAGAATAAAAGCGAGTAATATGCCACGTGTTGTAGACTTGCAATACTTGGAGCCTACCTACTCGATACAGATTACTTGGTAGGTTAAAAGGTCAGAGAGTGGAAAAAAATAAAGGGTGTCATAACTTCTCGTATAAAAGTATCATTTACTATTACCTTAGTTCGCATTTGATTTGCACCCAGCCTGGACTTCGAAGAAATGACCAAGGATGGTACCTGGAACAAAAAGGTAAAACGTCAATACGATACCAAAAACGTTGACCAAAGAGCAGTAGCCATGTGTCCGATCTAATTTGTTGCGTGACAACAATGACTGTCACCTAAAAATTAACCAAAAATTCAGGCTGTTACTAAGAGGCAGTTTACGTACCACTTTCCTACGACCTCTTCACAGGCACACAGCGTCTCTAGCCACAGGTGAAGACATTGTTCGCTGTTATAAATAGAAAAACACTGAATTCATATCATCGTCTTCATAACACCTCATAAATTATTTAAACAAAATATTTGAACTATTTCCTCGACAGCTGTTCTGCGGAGGAGGAATACAACCAGAGGGAAATTATAATTGTTGAAAGAATTACTCACTTCAGACCATAGCAGATTAGAGACCGGAACTGCAAAAAGAATAAAGGAGAAAAAAAACTACATGAAGGTGAGTTCAACAATAAAAATACTCAGGGCCTTCTTAGTTTGTCAAGTAAGGATTGTGAAACAAAACTACGAGAGAAGCATTTTTTTAGTTTAATTCTGTTTAATAAAACGCTCTATGCAAAGTTTACAGACTACGAGCAAGTTTTCTATTGAGTTGCGCCGATCATGCGCGCAAAGATACCACGTTCTGAAACGCGATTAATAAACTAATATTTTTTCTTTTTTTTTTTTTCACAATCTTGACAGAAAAGAAAAAAGCCACAACGTTTGCTCTGTTTCAATCGAGTCGACCGTAGCTCGAGCCCTTAACTGTGGCCCCAGCGTGATCTAAGGAATTCTACCTAAATACTATTCTCGTGTTTTCTGTACCTTTATAGGCACAAGAAACATTTTTATCTTTAAAAGAGCATTTCAAAACAAAACTGCTCTACCTTAATGTCCATCTGTGAATTTGCTGCATCATGACTCATATTTATTGACTGCACAGCCTACGTTGCAATGAAATGAAAAAAAGAACATATAATCGTTCATACAGTGATCATAAGATAAATAATAAAGTATCGATCAGCACTTACCCTGTATAGAATTTCCTCAGGTGAAAGAACCTTTCCATCCTCGTCTAATCTGCCATAAGATATAACAAGTACACTATTCAAAGCAAGAAAACAGGACTACATGATCTCCGTGTTTACAATGACGTTTTTCATCACCCGCATTGTGATCGCATTTGTGACAATGTACTTATAGTGGAAGATGAAAAAATCTAAGTACACCAATGCTTCTTTTATATACAGTAAGATAGTCAATTTAGGGTGTATCTTTTCGATAAAATACCCGTAACTTTATTTGATTATTAACCCTTTACAGCCTAACATCAGCATGCATATTCTCCTTACTGGTCTCCCCACATTTCCTGAGGCACTGACAAGGAGAATTTGCATAACAACTGACAGTTCCTTTAGTTGACGATCATTTCCTTTCTTCTTACAACATAAATGAGTGATTCAGGAGTGATATTGTAAGGAGAAATTAGATGTTAGTCACTCTTAGGGATTCAAGGGTTAAGGCAAAAAGCAGCATTCCAAGCATTCTCCACCAACCTAAATGTCTTACACAACACCAGTCTGGAGTACACAGATTGGAAATCTCGGTCTACTTCACGTTGGCTGGCCTGATATAAAAATAACAAAATTAGCTTGGCCATACAAAATTATCTTAAAGAAAATTATTGACCATCAGAACGCAAAATAACCGCAGTAAAACTTCGGCATTTGGCGTGGTATCAGGGAGGGAAACTTTGTAAAATTTCCCTATCTGTACTCCTCAGGAACAAGTCTCAAAGAATTTCTTGGGTATTGTAAATATACCGCAAATCCTGACGGTAAAAAAACTCTCGAAGCTCGTAAGAATTACCATTTGGGTGATTGGACTACTTTTGCTGAACTTCACTCTGTGAATTAGTAGGAACTCCCGCCACCATCAAAATAAATTAGGTGCAAAACTAAACCTACTTTCTCTAACTGGCCATTGACACCATTTAGAATTTGCGTTCATGACACTACATCCATACGCTCCTTATCAGGGCACCATCTCCATGAAAAAATATGCAAAGGTGGGGAAGTAATTCTAAGACTAAGCAGAGAAAGAGAGCTGAGTCAAGGCACCACTCACCTCTTCAACAAAGAGCCATGGATGACACGGTCCCCCAAGAATGGACGGCTTCCTCATGCCGTGCAGGAATATCGACTTCATTGCGGGACATAACCTGCCACGTATGAAGAGAAAATATTGTATTGGAAATTCCGGAATCAATTAATTGTATGTAAGGATTACCCGCTTTTGTCATTCAGTTGCGTTTGTTACAGACGGCTAATTCTTATGCATGTAGTTGGAAATAGTTTGGTGTTTCCTTTTATGACTTACTTACCCGCCTCTGACGAGATCTGTTACAGTTTCAGACACCGAATCGTCTCCAGCAGTTGAGTACTGCATCGGTAGATAGAGAAAGAAAAACGTTGAAACCTTCGAGGAAAATTATCAACGTTTAAACTTTACCTAAAGATCAAGACACCTACCTCTTTACTTCTTTCGTCCAAAATCTCAACAAATTTGGCAGGGAACCAACCTGAAATAGCAAAAGATATGACAGGGGATCCACAAATGCACATACAGCATTTCTAACCACACTTTTAACAAACCGCGATAAATATTTGAAGGTCCTCTTGAGTAAACTTTGACTCACTACCCCTTCTCTCCTTTTCAGCAAATAAGCTCGCTTTTTGAATTACAACAAAGTCCCTTGAACACCAAGCCTTAACCGTTCCACTCCCAAGACTGACCAATGTGCAATTTCGCCATACAATGTCAATACATTATCAACCAGACAAGTGATGAGAAGATTGTACACAAAGTAAACTATCAACAGGGAAATATTGTTTGATTGGACAACAAATTCTTACAGCTACAATTACAAGGGATGTATTGAAGACAGAGAGGAGAATGCATATTGAGATCTTAAGAGTGAAAGGGTTAAGAAGAAACTCTCTCACTGTCTAGCTGTACAGGAACTTGCAGGAAGAAAGCTTCTCGCAATCCATCCCACACTGTAATAATGATTTCATTCTGTTTGTATGATCGCACGACCATTTGCCTCACCTCTCAGACCATTCAATTCACCAACCCAACAGTGTTCGTCTTTCTGTGAAATTATCTAAAATGAAAAAAAAGATAACTTTAATAGCGATCCAGTGTATAGCAGGGTTTTCTATTAAAATAGCGGTCAAACCACTACCAAGGCCTCTCACACCTAAGTGTTTAGTCTGCAAGCGCTCTTTTTGATGCGCAGAACACTGGAAATTACATTTCCAAGCTCCTAGATTTCATTTTTTTTTTCTATAGGAGCATAACCATGGACCCCCAGCGGAAGGGGCATATCAACACCTTTTCCAGGAACAGTCAACTATTACATCATCGGAAGCAGCTTATGGAAAAATTTTATTGTTGTTTCACTACGTACCGTAACGATGTCATTTTTCCGGAATCCCAATTCGTCGTCATCATGTCTTTCAAAGTCCAATAGAGCTTTCGCTCTTCTGCGCCGATTCCTTCGGAAAAAAAAGGTGCAAAGAATGTCACCATACCTTGACACCCTACTTACAAAGAAATATCTTCCAAAGGATCTCATCTGTGTCGCCAATATACCCTTCGTTCTATTCTTTATCACACAGTCCGGGTTACAACTCTTTCTAATCGTTTCGTAACCAATCTTTAACAAAATCATATCACGTGACCTTTACCCAAATATGGTTAAGACACTACATTGCTATGAATACCTCGCTACGTTGATGAACCTCTCATGGTCTCTTGCGTGACTTTCCATTGAATAGTCAACTTCCAGGCCCTGGAAGCAATCACAAACAATCCAAGTTGAGTAGATGTAAGCGAAACCGCCTCAACCCCCTCTCCCCACGGAAAAAAAAGCAATTCACCTGCACCCAGTTGTTCAAAGGCCGATTAGCGCTAACCCAGGATTAAATTTTAATCCAGGTTTCTATATTTCTCTGTTCAAAAGCCGTTTTGGAATAATTTTACCCATTGTTTTTAGAGAATTCAATTATCGAATTGTAGTAAAAGAAATAAACTGAATTGGCTCTTCAAGCTTTCAGATTTAAAATCAAATTTCACACTAACCCCACGTTATCTTAACCCAGCTTTGAACAACTCGGCCCACGTCACAATTGGTATTGGCTAAAAAGGTGGCGTAAGTCCTCTAAACCAATCAAAAGGACAAGAAAAACAAAACCAATGCAATCGCGGATTACTTTAGACGCTCCATGAAAAACTGACATTGAATCTGAAAATCTCTTTGCGCGCTGAGTGAATCTTAAATTCTTCGGTCTTGAACGAGAGGAATTCTAACATAAAGTCCTCACCTTCTTGGGATCAACAGCATCGAAATGTCTGGCTATTTGGAGAATAGCTTCTCTCAAATCTGCTACTAATTCTGCAAAGACAAAACAGCTTCGCATAAAAATCAGCGAATGGTCGCCGCATATATTTCGCATAACACGACGGGTGATGTGAGATACATTCAATTAAAATCAGGCGAAGGATTTTAAAAGACGTCTCAAATGAGACATGAAAACAAGCCACAAAAGGCTCTCTCACCACCTGCACTATAACTACAAAGAGCTTACTTTTGAAACGTCAGCTTTCAAAGATTTACCTACTACCGTCATTATCCTACAATAAATCACCAACTTATGGTTGCAATATATCTAACAGTCTGAGTCTCCTGTTTCGGTTGTTTGAAGTTACTTACCTGTCTGTCTGATATTTTTAGCCTTCTGCAAGCTAATACCACCACCTCTTCCTGAAAGGAACACGAAAATGAACGCTCCATTAAGTAAACAAAGATATCAGTTTTGGTATATGAAAAACAGAAGTTTTGTTTCATAGAGTGGTTTTGAACTGAGTGTCCATAATTCGCTAAGACTGCAATGGTTTTGCTTCGCGACAGTCTGGATACGTCCGTCGCGTTTTCCTGCGCTCTAATAAATTATCATGATAACATGTACTCTCCTCTCTAAATGAGTGATAACTCTTTAAATCCTGGTTTAATTATGCTTGGGTTTTCAGCCTTCTCGCTTCAAACACTTTGCGATAATGTTTCAGCAGTTCAAAAGTTCTCAAGACGCCAATCATGGCTGCCACTGACAAAATTCAGTTTTCAAAATTTCCTGACTCATACCATTAAAAATACACTATCGCTGTCCAAGCACATACAAGTTATAGCATAAATATACAGTGGCAAACCTTTGTCTCTTTGTTAACTCACCAAAGAGCAGACTAAAGAAAGTTCTAGGTGGAGCTATGGTGCGTTTTTGAAGCCGCTGCAAATAAAGAAAAAGATACAGTTTGTTGTCTGGGTGAACATAATTGCAACGTTATTTTACTAAAACAACTTGTATTACATCTCTGGAAATTTGTTTTCCAGACTCCTTATCCATCAGAACCCCAAGGTCAGCCATGAGGAAAGCCATGTGCTTTTTTCTGTGTGTCTCTAGGATAACATCTGTCAGCGAGGCAGAAGCCTTGTTTGCAGCCTAAAAATTTTAAACAACGACTTACTTTTAATAATACAAAGTGAAAATAACATTTCGTATCATGTACAAACTAAACACCTGCGTATCATGCTCACAGTGAGAAATCAAGTCACACGCACGAAATAGGGGAAGACACATCTCTCGCCCGTGACTCATCGGCCTAGATCAATTAGAACGAGCGCCTACTAGGCCACTAAAACAAGGCAAATTGAGAGTGACCAGCATCTAATTTCTCTTTACAATATCACCCCTGAATGACACAAAACGGTCACGAGAATAAAAGAAATGATCACCTAATAAAGAAGCCTTTGATTTTTAGACAAGTTCTCCTTGTCAGCACCTTAGGAAATATACAGAGAACAGTATGGAGAATATGCATACGGATGTCAGGGTGTAAAGGGTCAAGATGATAGAGCCACACACGTATGTTGTTGTCGAGTTCGACGTTAGAAACAGAAATCAAGCACATGTACCTCTAACAGTTCATCTGCATCCTTGACATCACCTGGTATATCAGAGAGTGTGTTGAAGATCTGCGCTGAGTTGTCCAGCTTTAAAATGATATCTTCCTGTACAAACATAATTTAATCAAGACATTAAAACTCGATTTTAAGTGCACCTGAAGTAATTATTTTTTTAACAGCAGATCAGAAATTGCATCAAAATCTCTCATTCTTTACCAGACTTACATGCACAGTAACATAGTAAATTCAACTTTGGTCTAGAGTTAGATCATACCTTCATTTTAAGCATACCAAGAGTGATTCTGAACAATGTCACTGAGCCTTCATACAAGAAAATATCCCAAACCCTTAACAGGATCTGCAATTAAATGGGTGATGCAAAAATAAACAAACCGTTAATTAATTGCAGCTGTACATGTATACGACTATCAATAATAATTACCTTGTATGTAGCTATGTACCATTTAATTTTTAATTTTTGGAAAATGAGACCTACATTGTAACTTAACAAGACAACTGGATGGCACAATAGTACTTCACAACATTAACAATTTAATGTCTTGGTCACTGATGGGAGTTTAAGGGTGAAGTGGTTATTTACAGCCATCTATTTTTTAATGATTAATGATATCATTTCTGTACCTTAGTGTGAACAACACTGGCAAATGCTGTCAAGAACCAGTGAAGTGTAATCAGTGACAACTCAATGTCATGCTCCTTTAACTGTTCATCCATTGGTGGAAGGTAACTGACAATCAGCTGCCGCAGAACTCTCTGATCAGCCTGGATACATTAATAAAAATTGTAGGACTTATGTTTAATTTTCAAACTTACAGCTCTGCAACTCTTATAGTTAAGACAATACTTATGGTAGCAATAATTTACCATGTGCACAATACCAGCCTTGATAATATGAAGTCACTGTTGAGCCTTAGAGAAATTTTCAAATGACCATTGTCAGAAACCTGAGATTACATAGGTTTTATTTACATGTGGTATGTGCATACTGACTTAACAAGAAAACCTTGGCCAACTCCTCAACCAATCTGATGAATAACTAATGTAGGTCAATCATTTTTTTCCTAAGGCAGGTTCATTCCTTTATTTCCTTTTGGTTCATATTGACTCCTGGTGATATTCCTGTTTGTTCTGGATGGCCAATATTTTACTACAGGTATCATTTTGATAAAAATTATTACATTTCCACTGCCCTGTGCCTCAAGCCTAATTTATAGTTCCCAAATGCCTTTCATAATCAGTATTTTAAATGATAAAAGCCCTTCAAAAGTTAGTCCTTAATAATCTGGACAGAGCTACACTTAAATTTGATTTACATTGTATTACAATTTTATAATGGCTCTCTCAAAGAGATTATCACCTGTACACCAATTAAAGTGCTTGAATAATAGGATGTAGGTACAAGATCCTCAACTATAGTGCACATCAACCAAAAGGCATCTTCTTCCTCCACAAAGAGTAACAGGGATGCAACAATCTAGAAAGAAAGAAAAGTACGCCAAAAAAAATATATAGCAAGTTAAAGTGAATATTGCCAACAACAGTCCTTTTCAGTGATGATCACACTATCCGATTACCATTTCCAGACATAAAAAAAATATTTTGCATGGTCAAGACTTGTTGGAAGGTGCTTATAGTGTAGGGATCATGCTGCATTTGTGGTGTTTTAAAAACAGGACCACAGCACTAAGTTTGCTGCTTAGGAAAATTATCTTAATCATACATGCATATCATAGCACCTAGTACATTGTACATGCAGCTAGACATTTGACAGCCAAACTAAAACTTACCATGCCCATTCCTTGACAATAGCCAATGTCAGTGTATAACCAAGCCAGGGACCTAAGAATCCTTCTGAGCCGTAGAAGTCCGGTACTGGTTGGTGTTGAAAAACATGCATTGTTTGGCATGGTTCGCAGCAAGTCCTGCACAGACACAATTTAAACTTTACTAACTTTTAAAATAGATAAAAAGTTACATTTTATATCCTATTTGATGATTAGATCAAATAATTTGTTCTGAATAATACTTCCAGTAATCAACATACATGTATAGTATTCATTAACTCACAAGTATGTATTGGGCCATCTTAATTTTACAAAATGACAAGAGTAGACTATGCTTTTGTACAATGTACAAACAGTGTATAACACTTAGGGCCATTACTGTCTTCAAAGTTCACACCTGGGATAAAAAGGAAAGTCAAATATAACACACTAGCTCACCTTTTCAATTTGTTTGGCTGTCAAAGAATTTTCATCTGCACTTGCCCTTACAATTTGCTGAGAGAATCCAGGAAAAAGAGAGTCAACCATGCACTGTGCAACTTACAAATATGGTAGCAAATATTTACAAAAGAAAAAAAACAAACTAAACAATACACTGCACATCATATACTTGTACATGCAAAGGTACAATGAGTTGTGAATTCTAAATTGTTTACCATGCAATGTACCTGTAAATGATACAACATGGGGAAGGTTCATACCTGCATGTTATAACATCTTAGCGACAGATCAAGAATTCTTTAAACAGTTTAATTTACAAAAAAATATGGAACAGGTAATTCAGAAACTCACCTTGTAAGTAAAATCACTGCTAATTTTCTTCTGTAAGGCTCCAGATATTCTCATCCAGATCTAGAAAAGAGTACCAGTGACTGATGTTATCAACATTAGTAGAGATCCCACTTACTCGTCTTCAACTTCTGTGAATGACTTGTACAACTGAAGTTGATTAATCAATGGAAGAGTTATAATGCATATAGATTTTAATTTTTCAGTTTTTACTCACTGGAGCTCTCATGCTGTGGGGAATTCCAAGATAAACAAGCTCTCGTAACTTGTCTGAATGAGGAAAACTTGGAGAAACCTAGTAAAAAATTATAGTGAGAAAATAACAAGTGCAAGGATGAAAAAAAAAAAATTGAAGCATATGTGTGCTAATTTCATTATGAATGCATTTTAAATTTATATAACCAACAAAGATGATTGTCTAATAATTAGAATTAAATAATCCACATGAGATTTGATTAACATTTACCTTGTCCCAAGTCATTTCACCAACATCTTGATTTTGTGTGAACTCCAAGAAAGCTGTCCATTTAAGTCTAAGTCCCTCATCCTCACTTGTCACAAAACTACCTGGATCTGGATCTTTGTGTTCAAATTCTAAATCTGTAATAAAGCATTATATCAAAAATGATCAACACAATGTTTCAAATAAAAATATATTATTGATTGCCTGGACATGAAATGTGGGGCCATATGTTGGCAAAGCAGGTTTCTGCAACAAACTGTTCAATTTTTATTGCATCCAAATCATTCAGACAAGCCACATCAATAACTACATTAATCTGAACTAGTGTTAATTTTTTAGAGCAAAACCTTGCGGTAGAGTTACAGAATTTCATAAAAATTCAATATTAAAACAAGCAAATTGAGGCTGTCATCTTTTCCTAAGTAGTGCAAGTCCCAACCACTTGTCTCCTTCTGTCCCTGAGCTTTAACGAACAAAGAAGTAAACCATGATGCCACTAGAAGAATTTACCTCCATCAACCATAAACCCAAATTCATCATAATGTCCAGTTGGACGACCTCCTGCATCTTCTGTCTGTAAGGTACACCAAAAAAAAAAAAAAAAAAAAAAAAAAAAAAAACACCAAAATGATATAAAAAAGATGTTACTTCTACTTTGGAAGCCTCTCAATATGATCTGCACAATTAAGCCTGGAAAACTTAAGGTAATGAGAAAAAATGGGTTGATCATATTAAAAAAAAGGTCCTAACAAGAATCAAATCAATCATCAAGTAAAGTACCATTCACATAACAGTAGCATGTTACAGGATCAATACAACTCTATATCAGTATAGGAAGATTTATGAAAACTTTCATGCTTTGAATAAGTACTTCCGTAAGCGGAAAAAATTATATCTGATGTTTTTGCAAGGATCCTTTTTTTTGTAATAATTTCTTGTTTTAACTGTTCACCATCATCAATTTATGTTCCAGTTGAGTTGAAGAAAAGAGCTGATTAAAGAGAGAAAGTGACAGCAACACCTTAAGCATTACACTTTCATCATGTGAACCTAGTTAATTTAATAAGAATAATCATATTTTTTGTTTTAGAGGAAAGTTGCAGTTGCAGTTGTGAGATACAATTACCTGCTGAATTCTTGACAGTAGGTCCTGTGGCCACATACTCGGTGTGAGAGCAGAGAATGGACCACCAATAGCTGGCACAAAAGAGCCTGTAATTGGAGTACCACCAGTGGCAACATGGATGGAGGAGTCATCCCAAGCAAGGGTGTTATCATGGACAGCATCATCATCTTCATCTTCACTCAGGGTGGGAGCTAAGTACAAAAATACAATGGATACACTGAAGTTCAGGTTTTTTTTTTTTTTTTTTTTTTTTTTTTTTTTTTTGGGGTGTTACCTTTAAAAAAACTGGTTCATAAAAACATGAGAGATTACAAGAGTTGCTCCAGACACAGGTCAGAGGAACTCTAGCTTTCCAAGTGCTTCATCTCTCCATGAACCAAATCTGACCACTGAACCAATTTTTTAGGGCATTTTCAACATAGCAGTTTAGTGCTTAACTTTTTACCATTTAAAGCATAAATGTTTAGAGCATCTCCTATAATCCTATAATTCAAGTACAATCTAAAAACTCACACAATTTTAAAATGCAGCTTAAATAATCAGCATACACAACTAGATTACAAGGCACACTCCTGCAGCTGAGTTTGAATTCAAGTTTACTTGCTGAGCTACAATGCAAATTCTAGGAATGTCACTGTTCCATTACAAGTCTTTCTCAACAACAAAAATTCAATCATCTCCCCTTTTGGATAATGGTCTAATTAAAATACACAACAACAATTAACAAACATCAATTTTGTACTGTCCTCCTATGTCACACTTTGTATGTGTGCATCTTAATTAAGTTAACATATGTAAGAGCAAATTCTTAATTCCCAAAACCTTTTTGACGGCAAATCATTATTAAATAAAAATTTTACTTGTACATAGTCTTTGACAAATTCTAGTATTTTCATGGCATTCATCCATCTAAACTTTTGATCCCAGCCTTCACTTCACAAAAATTAACATATTCTTTCTAATGGAGCAGTAAAAAGCTGGAGGAAACAAATTTATTTAGGTATGTATTTGATATTATTATTACTTGTTTAATATATGCTTACCAAGAATGTTTTTCATACAGATTTTAAAATTCCCCTTGCAGCTTGCCACATAGATCTCAACTTTGATTGCAGATCTCCAGGCAATGATTCCCAACCAGCTGGGACAAAAACTAAATATACATTGACCAGCCATGATTGAACACTAAAGAGCATTATTCTGAGACCTACATGTTCATTCACCATCACATATTCATGCAACTGATAAAAAATATCCATAAATCTCTCATAAAACACAATTATTTTCCTGAACTGAGGGAAAGCAAAACTGTGCTATTATTTTACTTATCAATTTGCTCTTTTAATCTTTCAAATCATTGATGAGGCAATACCTGATAGTGTTGCTTTATTTAAACAGAAAAAGAACATCTCTCAGCTGCTATTTGTTGTCAAAACAAACCAAGCTTTTGTTCTTCAGATTTTTCACCATCATTGACAAACAATGTGCAGACACAATGTTTTAGTTCACAAAATGGCTACACTGTAAAACTGGTAATGCAAAATTATCTAATACTTCCATAAAAGGCAACTTACAATAAAAGATTCCAAGTCAATTTCAGTCACAAGTTTAATTAATTTTCAATTCATATTGTGTTCAACCGTCTGCCAAGTGGAGACTTTGGAATAGATTGTTGTCACCAAACAAACACTAACAGAAAGCAAAGCATACCACACTCAGTCACAGTAACTTTTGAACTAAGAATCTGAAATAACTAAAACAAAATCCTTTAAAACAATTTCAGTAAAGGTAAAGAATTCAACCCACACGTCAGCCGATGGTCGGCAGTCGTCTTGGCCACCGTTTATCCTTCTAACTTACAAGATGTGTCTGTGGTGTGTCGGTGATGTGTCGGTAGTGCATCAGTGACTTTGTTTGGACCTTATTTATGTAAATCTTCGATCTTACTAATGTGTCATGTTTCCTTCTCAAAATGGCGGTGATTTAGATTTCTTTTCCTGCGAGGTTAGTATTATGTGTTAGATCTTACCGGCGCGTTGTGTTACGTTCTCAAAATGGCAGTGATTTAGATTTCTACTGATGCATTTGATCTTACCAATGTGTTGGTAGTGTGTCAGCCGACGTGTTGGTAGTGTGTCGACTGACTCATTGGTAGTATGTTGGTGGTGTGTCGGCCGATGTGTTGGTGGGATCGGATTCTTTACCTTCACCACAATTTCCTATAACTCAGATTGATTGGCTCAAGAGGGAGCTAAAGGTACCACGAAGAGAAAATATATTGTTTCCTTAAGTAGCTATGTAATGTTCAGTTCATAGACATTCCAGAAACATTGAAATGCAAGACCGCACTCTTAGAAGACACTTTCAAAGTGTACTAAATGTAGAGACCCCTACACAATGAAATACATGTTCAGTAGATCCCTGCAAAGAGTTCTAATTTATGAAAGCATGAATTATGATACATGTACGAGAAGAAACTTAGAGAACTTTCCAATAAAACGCTGCTGATCTTTTTGTATCTCAGTTAAGTAGTCTTTGAACATAGTTGTGTCTAAATCCTATTTGATGAAAAGAAAGCCACACAATAAATATAACCATAGCCAGTGCTCAATAAACTGGTAAGTTTTCCAAACAAAAGCATTCTAGGAAATAATTTTGGTTACTATGGCAAACAATTTTTTTACCATTTAAAGCATAAATGTTTAGAGCATCTCCTATAATCCTATAATTCAAGTACAATCTAAAAACTCACACAATTTTAAAATGCAGCTTAAATTCACTCACAGATGAAATATTAAATAAAATACAATCAAACAAATTAATATATGCACAAATAATCCACTGACAGGAGTGTTACCCTGGCTTAAAGAAAGTTAGCAACATTTTTTTCTTTTATAATTCACCCATGAATTTATATCAAATATTTCAACCAATGCTATTAAAATCCATGCATCCCCTGATTTGACAGCATATAAACTTAAACACTATCCTTTTGATACATTTTTTTCACTTCTAAAATGAGACAAATAATATTTATTATTACTCACAGACTTAAGATTTATCAGTTATTAAAACACATAGATCAAGGATTTTTCAGAGAAGCTTGCATTTGTATCAAACAATTTTTATCAAAAATAAAATTAAAAACTGGTAATCCAAATATCATAAAAATTCAATCCTGATATGTGTATGTTTACTTACGTCGTCTTCTAGCAAGCACTGCATTTAAATCTAAATGTGGATCATACTCAAAACAGCACGTGTTGAATGGTTGCAATAATTTTAACATGGAAAATATCAATCAACAGCAACAGGATTTTCAGATCTTGTAGCTTTTCTAATATAGAAAAACAGAATTCAGTCAACACTTAAAGTCACTATGGCTTCATTTGAATTTGTCAGTTACACTGCTAGCCAAGGGCAAATTATTGTGAATAAATTAAAACCAGCCACATGCTAATCATAGTTAACACAATAACATTTGGTCTTTTAGAAGGAAGGCTAGACTAAGATCATATCTACAAGACTCTCAATGGAACAACATTTTAAAACATTGCTAGGAGTGAAATTTATACCAGCCTCCAAAAGGATCAACAACTTTGTATACCTATGAAATGTCTGTGGGTGTCATAGAGGAAAACCCAGTGATGAGAAAAATGATATTGAGATTTTCATTTATAACAACAGACATATCCTTCAGTATTTCAACTTATCTAAGTATATCAAGTCAACACAAATTTTGTTTGAAATAAGATCCATAAGCTAGGAAACAAAAAACAGTTTCCTGCAATATATAACTCAAACTAAGTTCTGGTACTACTCTATATAACATAACAAATAACAAAAAACAAATTTAAACAATTTCTTCAAGAACTAATAAATTTAGCAATTGTAAACACCTGAATTGAATTTAAAGAACCTCAATTGATCTGCTCTCTACATGGAAAGATGACAGTCTCAGACCAAAGGGTTTTGAAAAGTTATTAGTATTTAAAGCTGATTAATTACATAAGAAGTTGTCCACACTAGACTTTTCTTTACCTTTCTATCACAACAAATATTGCACATATTCGAATTTTAGATTGAGAATCATATTAGAAGCAGTTTTCGAGTAAGTATCATGGGAAATGGATGTAGAGAACAGTAAAGGGAACTTGCATACAAGTGTTGGGGAGTAAAAGGGGTGAGAACTCTCCCAATAAATTGCAGTGGATAGAAAAAGAATGTAAAAGCCATGTGTATCTCATGGCATAGCAAGACAAAGGTAAAGGGGCCAACTATGACTGCTTTGACTAATTTTTTTTTTTTTTTTAACATAATAAGCTCTTCTTTTGGATAGGATATATTTCAAATAAAAGAGTAACATTCTTTGTGATTGTTTTCAAGTGTATAGCAGCTGCATGTATATTGTGCCAGCCCTCACTGGGTTCAGCTCTATTGTGAATTTATATTTGTATATTTAGTGAAATTTAATAACCAAGGCATCCAGATGCTCCATTTACATTTATACAAATGATTACAACAAAATTTTCTTATTTATCAACCCCAAAAACTCTAGTCTGCTTCGCAAAAAAACATTTCATGAACTAAACGCTACATCAAGAGGTCCTTTTCTATGCTCACTAATTAGCTGCCCTTTTTTCAATGAAGTGTAAATAGGTGTCAGGAAGTAAGCTACCATTATCACGATTTAAAGGAGTGTGGGTGGAGTTGATATGCCGCGCTTCCAAACAAAGGCGCAGGTAGTGGTGATAATTTTAGACTTATCCCACCCAATTGTATGGTTGGTTAGACATATGTGCTCCGATAAAGCTGTATTTTCTTTTTTGTAAAAGGAGACCACTTTTTTATGCTCTTTCACATGTGTACCAAACTGACATTTGGTCTGTCCAATATACTCACGATCACAGTCATGAAGGCACTAAACAGGAGTGTCGAAACATCGGGTCTATGAATTGTAACTATTCAATTACACTCACTAAATCTTTACACCAGAGTAGCATCAAACCATGTCTCATTATCCATCTGGTTGCCATGTTAACTTTAATACATATCGTGAAATCGCACAATAATAACACAAGAAAATGTAATATCAGGAGGGACAATATTTTGGGCATGTTTGACAGTCAAGTGCTATCCTTAAGAATGTGTGATATTGCATTTACATTGGTAGTTAGAAGTTACTGGAGAGGCATAGTAATTCTTTTGTGAATCCTCAACAAATATTTGTGTGGTTAATTACATTAACTGATATCTACTGATTCTGAAAGTTGGATAATTGAGCTAAGAATTGGTGTACACGTGTTTCCGATTTAAAAAAGATTGAAAACTATTTTTTATTTCAATAACATGACTCAATCAGTGAGTGAAATATTAGATTGCCTCCTTCATGTACACGAGCTCTCAACTAGCGACTGAATATTTAGTTAATAGAGTTATAATTTAATAAGAGATAAACCTCAGTGCTTTAGTACGTGCATGTATGTACTTCCTTGTTGTAAGAGTCAAATCCGTTGAACAACAAAACAACCTAACTTTGAGGAAAACCACTACTGAAAAAATACAATACTCTCGTGAAACAGAACAATTACTGACGGTGCCTCTGGCAACAACGAATGTCCGGCTAAATCTGTGTGTGTTGTCAAAGAGTGTCAATATTAAAATCACCCAAGCAGTCTACGCAATAATTTATCTCCTTAGCTGCATTTTTACAATATTATCGATCTAGTAAAGTTCGTAAAATTCATACTTCACGCCTGGAAAGATTTTTTGATCTTCGCTTGGCTTAGTCATAATTTATTTATCGCTCCATATGATCGAGTGAACAAAGGTATCGCTTGGAATTTGAAGGAAGCTACGACCGTTACAGAATACAAACAAGTCTTGCCCACCTACCTTTTATGTTGTACATGCTGTATCCATCGGTCGACTTTCTGTCACTGCTACTAAAAACCTGCCTGGTCAACTCCATATTTCAAGTACAACCGCGGAAAAAGACAGGATTATGACAACTCTCACAGGACCAAAACACTACCATGTTCAAAATGGCGGCGCTAAATGGAACACCAACATGACGTCAGTAGATTCAGCCAATCAGCTTTGCGGCAGGAGAAAACAACTTCATCTCGCTGTTTACGTGGCTTCTGTCTATTCTAAGTTCGAAAGTGATCAACGCACACACAAAATCACGAGCGGTAATAGATCAGTGAAATGCCGGTTTAAAATAACCTTTCAAATTTAAGAAAAACTAGTTCAATCTTTCTGAGATGGAAGCAAATTTTCTTTCAGAAGATTTGATCTAATTAAAAATATATGTTTAGTGCTAAAAAAGAGGAAATTGTTAACAGGCAGGTGCAATATAATCTCCTCTGCGATCTTTGTCATGCAACATTTTCTTAAAATCGCATTGATGAAATATCTCATGTTAGATCTAAGTTTCTTTTCTTGGTAAATGTGGAGAAATAAATCTAACTTCAAAATGTGTGAAAGCGATGATCCTTCTTGCAGTTACTCTCCATTGCTTTTTAGGATTCTAGTTTAAGAGAAAATATTCAGAACATACTCTAAAAAGATGAAAAAACTCTATAAAAATAAACAATGATAAATGAACATATAACATTATCTTCAAAATTGCAATTCACTTGGTCACCACAAGATTATATTCAGTTGGATAAAGGGGTAAATTTATAAAGAAACTGTGGTGCAGTGTCTGTGGGAGTGCAGAACAGAGAAATTTAGTATTGGTATCAACTGAGTAGATAATGTAAATTGGCCATTGTAAAGAGTTTAAAAGCTGCCATTTAGGGCTAACGCTAAAAAATTCAGCTTTTTAACTCATTATGGTGGCCAATAAACGTTATCAACTCAGTTAACAACACTTAATTACCCTGTTCTACCCAGTTGAGTTTTAAACATAAAAAGTCATTTGTTGTTATTGGCAGTAAATTCTTACCTTGTTGCAGATTTCATTTCACACCTGCCATTCAGTAAAAATCCCACCCTAACCATTTGGTATATTAACCAGACAGTTAAGTGGCTGGGTCTCAATTCCTTGCAGATTAATTTCGGCTCTGTTATAAATCATTTTAAAATAACCCAAACCTAGAGGGTTGGCTCCAAATTATAACTACACTTTTGCTACACTTTGCCCTTAAATGTTGTTGTGTAAAATAACTTTTTTCATTCATCAATCATTTAAATAATTTATTTGTTGCTTCTCTTTTTTTTTTTCTGTTTGAAAAAGGAAACAGTTATCCTAACAATTTATTTTAGTATAAATGTCCTTATTTACGTTGACATTTTCACCTCAATTTACCACAATCCTTTAACTTTCCCAAGATCTGATTGCCAATTCTCTCCTCCAGCTGCTACGCACTTCTTTGAGTTTTAATGAGTTATGAGAATTTGGTGTTAGATCAAGATAACAAACCCTGCCTGATACATTTGATAATTCTCATTACCCATTTGCTGGCTCATGTATGGATATTATAGAGAGAAGTTACATGTTACATGAGAGTGAGAGGGTTATGTAATATCTTTAAGGATGTTTCTATTCTACATACATAATGGTGTTCTGGAAAACAATCCTTCAACTGAAAGAACAATGCAAGATAAATATTTTAAAAATTTATTTGTAAGAAAAATTATAAAAAGAGCCTGATGTACTGTAGACAATTTTTTAAAAATGGGACAGCAAAGCTATAGGTTGTATGAGTAGAAAATGTAACTACAGTAGCTATTAATACTGTTTTGTATTTCATTTAATTGGGAATTGAATACTATTACTGTATTTTCTTGGTGAGTTAAACCAGATTTGACAGCACATTTTTTATTACTACCAAATTTAAGCTTGAACTATCCATTCCACTCAGGTGTGTTTGGATTCTTATAGCAACCTTTTCTTTGGCTGAGCAATACAAGTGAAGAAAATTTAGAAAACCATCAACTAGGAGTGGTGCATAAATGTAAAACCAAATTCTCAACACTAGCCAACAATGAAATGTATTACATCAGCTGGGAGAGACAAGAAAACCTCTTTCTACAAACAACAACGTTTCAATATGTTTATTGTTTTATATTCTGTAAATTCTCAAATGCCCTGGAAGCTCTTGAATGATCCATAGGAACATTTCAAGTCTGGTTAAAGTTAATAATGACTTCTTTTCCAGACCATCTGAAAAAAGAACATTGGAATGGAATTCTCAGAGAGTGACCTTATCTGCCACAAATTTATATTTCCAATGCCAAGAGAACCTTTCTTTGAAACATATTTGCCAGGGATTGCAGGCATTTTGCTCTGAAATTGTTCCCCATATTAGTCTTACACATCACTGTCCTTTGTCCTGCTCATTTGCCACCATGCTGGCATTTAGAACATCCAATACTTCTTCATCTTGTTTAGAGGGTGGCAGGAAGAAGATAATGTACGTCAATATGACCATGATTGTAAGACTCACATAGACTGTCACCATAGATGTGCTCTTTTTTCTTTCTCCTAGTGTTTGACCAACTGTTATACTCCGTGCCCTTGAAGTAGAAAAACGTATTGGCTGGTTTTTTAAATCTTCGTCTGAAGTTTCCTTAGCAGGGCTACAATATGCCCTATGTGCCACTTGTAAGCTGTAAAAAACACCAAACAACCTGATATGAAGTAAACTCATACAGAGAGGAATTCATGTAACTAGAGAGTTAAAGTCAGAGACAAGATGGAGAAATCCAGATAACTACAGAAGCGGGGCAGCCATTAGCTATACATGATAAATTATCCTTCCAAACAAAATTTCTATTATCTGGCCAAATTTGAAAAATTTACGGCTCATGCTTCGTGTAATCCTGTGTAATTACAATATAAGATGTCTTCTTACGTTGAGAATTGCAAGGATAGTGATTGCCTATGCTTCAAAATAGCTTCCACGTAGATTCAATACGAAGGTTCTACAAGGCCAAACATTTCGAGAGACAACAGAAACGGAATTCAAAGAAGAAACGAGATAAAAATGCGCATTTCGTCCCAAACACCCCAATAATATTACATAATACAGCATAGTCATCCCATTTCGTTAATATTAACAATCTTATAAAAAAAGATGGAACACACCTTCCAAGGGATAGGATTGGCTTAACCACCTGAGAGCGTTTTGGTAAATTTGAACACCTTAAACTCGAGATAAAGGAACATTTTTTCTGCAACCTTCCAAACGAACACCTCGCCAGAGCCGCCATGATTTCACTTCCCTAACCTATTTCATGTAACCTTAAACGAAATATAGCCTCTATAGAAATCTGTCCCCAGGCTCCAGGGCAAACCGCGTATGGATGGTTCGGTTCCCTTGCTGTCTTTTTAAACTCTGTGCAAAATAATTCACACAATTGGTAGCGATGAATTATAACCAGGGTGAAACGAGAGCTCCATGCTGAAAGAGCCTGAACGGAGAGGGAATGCTAGATTTCAGCATATTTTCGCTGAATTCCCCTAATTTCGTCCGCTGAACAGAACCAATTAAGGGTAGAATCAAGGCACTGTCGACTAAACAGTAGACAGAGTAGCAGACCATTGATTATACTTGCTCATGTTCCCGTTTAACATTTCTCTCATCATTTATTTTTCCTTCTAGTTTTTTCCCCATGCTTGCATCCTTTTTCCCTCATTCTGCATCTCCTTACGCCTTTAGCCGGCCATTCCTCTCCAACCTACCGACTTGTTCCTCTGTCTAAGTGGCCTGTGATAGGCGCTCAGTTGGTTACAACTGATCAATGCTGGGATTAGCCTCTACGATCTGAAGAATTGCAAGATAAACTATTAGAAAAACGAATCAAAATGAAACCTTTTAAAAGGCATCTAGTCCACTGACAGTTTTGTTCGTTCAGTATCAGGACAAAGACAGATCAAGCCAAAAACCCTTGGATAAAGATAAGAATTTCTTGAGGTGGGGACAAGAATGTGAGCCAAAAACTGCAGGCTAACTGCAATGGACGCCGTAAGTGTCAGGTCTTAGAAAATTCCGAAATTTCAAAGACCTGACAGAAGAGTGAGTGGCAACCTTCAATTGAGCAATGCTGAATTGTTCTCACAAAAGAACTTCTCGATACCAAAAAGTTTTTATAACCATTTCACCTTACCATTCTCTTCTTCCAATCGGGTTTGGATCATTCTCAGTGTTGCACAGTAGAGTCTCTTGAATATGAAAGCGATCTTCACAGTAATGAACATTACTTGAGCAGTCGTGAAAATAAGGCCTCAAAAAAAATTCAGGCCTGCACAGGATTTGAACGAAGAATAATCATGTTTACCGAAACAATTGGGTTATTTAACGTTTTCGTTAACAGCAGTCTGCCATGGTTTCGGATTGGTTACCTCCAAGCAGAAAACTAGGCAAAAGAAAAATAAAAACATCTCACATGCAAGGTAATCGTTGGGCTGTTTCCACGGAGAATTCGTGAACTAAATCAGTGGCTTATTTTCACAACTGCTCAAGTGGTGTTCATCACTGCGAAGATTGCTTTCATATTCACGTCTTTATCCGCAGTTCAAATATATCTCTTTCATATATTCTCAGTAGTAGAGTCTCTCTTTCTACTCCTGGATGAACAATAAGCAGTAACTACGTATGCGCAACTTCCGAACCAGCCAATCGACGTGCTTAAAAAACAATACTTACCTCCTTTAGCTTTAGTATCACTCTGTTTCAGCTTTAGAATGACACAACCAAATTTTTTTATCAGTCACAGTCTCAAAGGGAGCATATGCAGACGAGCCCAAAACGGGTTCATGTAAAATGGCGGGAATCAGGCAAAGAACAAAAGTAAACCGTAGTCGTTCCCCTGATAACCATGATGGCTGTTTGTCGTTCGCCCGTTTTTTCACACGCAATCACTGAGTAAGGGCCTGAAGGGGCCAAAGAGGGCTGTTTTTGGTGCGCACATGAGATAGGCCTTTCTGAGGATACTTCAAGTGACCTTATTTTATGAACAATTTTAACATTTAGCAAAGTGTATCCGTCGTTTGAAAAATGTACCACAGAATATTAATGAAAAGTAACACAAAAAGTCACGAAATTTGGTTGAACAAAATAACGGAGTAAAACAACTGCGAAAACTTAGAAAGAACAATTTCTACCAGTTCATTTTAAGTGTCAAGTAACTCGCCTGTGAAAAAGGCGTCAAGCGGTATATCATCTTTCACACGTTCAAACACGTTTTGAGGACATTAAGAAATCAAAACAAACTCAACGATCATTACTCACTCTCTTACAATTAATTATTCTTCACTAGATCCAATCAATCCTATTTATGGCGCAAAAAGGTCGTTTGAAGTTCTCCGATCTGTTAAGCTCAATAAAAGCTGTCCTCACCGAAGTCAAACCAAAGTTGCCGACAGTTTATTTATTGTTGAATTAAAACACTTGACTTCGAAAAGGTCGTGTTTTTGCGTGACCTCAAAAAAGAAAATCGAGTTTATGAAAACAAATTTCTTAATTATCAGCACGAAAAAGCTGTTCAACTAGACAGAAAATGAATAATTATACGCTTTTCAATTCGGTGTTACTCCAGATCCGAGGCAAGATTTGAAAACGTGTTGACTGAAGACTCGCACCGGCTAGTTTTTTACTTTTCAGCATAGGCGATTTTTTTTAAACTCATCATCGTTCCCACGGTCCACTTTTCCTCGGTTTTCAATACAATCCAGTTGAAAAAACAAACGTAATGTTTTTTTTTTTGTGTGGACCTGACCTCCAAATAACAGGAAAAATTTTTTTGAAAGACGAGAACCAGAACATTGGCAATCTACACTCGGCTCGCCTTGAAAAGCCATATTAACTTCCGACTTATCAGGATCATAATCAGAGCTTCAATAAGATCTTAAACTAATACACATAGCAATATTCTAATCTCATCTAACATAGGCCTTTGTGACCATCGAAAAATGTCTCTGTGTTTTAGCATACTCCGCGGCGCCACAAGGCCACTGATACTATCAGACAGATCACAATATGGCAAATTGGGCTAATTTAATTGTCGATTTCATTTCCTAACTTCTCATTTCTACCAAAAGAATCTGACGAGAACGAAAAGAACAATGGCAGGAAAAAAAGATTGTGGTATTTTGTTGCGTAATAAATAGGTCAAAATCTTCACTCGGTTAGACATGGATCTAGTGATTGCCCTAAGAAGATTTACTACAGTTTACATTTTTGACGGCGCCAAACTAAACACGGACTTTAAATGCTTACAAATGACTTAAAACAAACTTCCCGTGTAAATATTTATCCATCTGCTGGCGAGAGATAATGGAGCAATGGATTTTCGAACAGATGATCGCTTCCAAACGCGCATACGTTTCTTCCTTTCTATTCTGAACGTCGTAAGTTATCGCATGTCAATAATTTGCATTATCTGAAATCGTAATTTTCAAATAAAACTCTAAGCACTATGAGTTGTTGGAATTCGAGCAAAATAATCAGAAATTCACTAATCCGAGCTCAAACTGCCGTCCATGTTTAAAACAATAGTAATACTTAGCTGTGTGGTCTCAAAAACACTTAAACTTGTACTGTAAACAAACAGTGAGACACCAGTCTCAGGACAATCAATCCAAGCCTGGGTGGTCTAGGGCGTCTCCAAACCCATATCCGCTTTGAATTTGGCTGAGAATGCCACGGTGAGCATTGGCGTTACGTCGACTACAAACAAAGGCTTTATAAGCAGTGAGCCCACTGCTCATCGGACACAATCCAACATGTACAACACATTCGCCGCAATGAGATTTTCACCGTACACACAACTCTCTCTACCAACGCAGAGATTTCGACAACAAGGGATCGAAAGCCTGTGTTCTTGTTGCTATTACAATTCAGGTTGCTGCTACTCGAGCTATGGTTCAGGATTCGGGATTTATGGTTGCGCGGAAATGCTCCCCAAACCACCATACTCTTACGTTGCTCTCATATCCATGGCCATCAAGAACTCGCCGGAGAAAAAAGTTACACTAAGCGGGATTTACCAGTTTATTATGATGAACTTTCCGTACTACCAGCAGAGCAGAAGAGGTTGGCAAAATAGTATTCGGCACAATCTCTCGTTGAACAAGTGCTTTGTGAAAGTTCCCCGCGACAAATCGGATCCTGGAAAAGGCTGCTACTGGACTCTGGATTCGTCCTTTGAGGAGATGTTTGAAGAGGGGCGATTTTGGAGGCGAAAACGAAGGCCGAAACAAATAGTCAGTGCGAGACAACGAGAAGAAGACACTTCCCCGAGTTCTCCTAGAGAAGAGCACGTCGAAGAGACAGAAGAGAAAAGCGAGAAAACCGTCAACAGTGCAAGTTCGAGTTACGATCGCGACAGAGAAGACAAGAAATTGGAGACTTCTGACAATGAACTTTGTCATGAAAGTTCGTTCGAAAAACGGCGTTGTTTTTCGCAACTACAAAACCAAAGACACTCGACCTTTCCTGACGAACAAAATATGGCTATGGATGCAAAATGTGATGACTCTTCAACTTGTGGTTTGAAGTTTAGCATCGAAAGACTCCTTGGTGATCGATGATTGTCATATATATTAGCTTGAAAAGTAGAACTGTAGAGTTCCTTCTAAGAGACAATGAACAGCAGAAGTACAAGTAGAAATGTTTCAATATTACGTTTCTACGAGAAACCCAAAATTTGAGTTTGAATGAATAACCTTTCAGAAACTGATGTCAAGAAAAATCGAACAAACACTGGCCATTTAAATTGATCTCGGTCAGAAAAAGTGTTATCATCTAGAATTGCAAAATCAAAATTAAACCAGCTTTTTAAGCCGCGTCGCGGTTGTTTGTAATTCAAGTCAATCAAATGAAATGTATTGATGTTTTCGCCTCTGTACAGACTGCCGAGACAACATTTTATTTCAAAACAGAAATCAGGGGAAAAAAATGTCTCATATCCGTTGTCCCTGGTTTATATTTAATGTGTAGGAGTTGCGGCAATCAAAGGAGATTTCGGTTTTGTTTGCGGGCAAGTAGTTGTCATCAAGGTACTAGTGTTTTCGAGAGTCTCAGTGAAATGGGAAGTTGTTCACTTGATAATAGTTTCGACAACACCGTTCTCTCTCAAGTCAAGTTGACAAAATATTTTATGATCAAATCGTTGTTCATGAGTTATCTATAATGGGTTGCCAAAAGAAAAAGTAAACAAACCAACGAACAACTAAGAAGGTCTTAAGACCACAAGAGATCCAGGGCGAAAACGTATTTGTAGCAAGATGTCTACATGTCGATACATGAGCAAATTGCGACATAACAAAACCAAAATTCAACCACACGCTGGAGACATTTTCAAAACACACTCGTTGTTTACGTTACACTGTACTATACAATGATAAACAAGAGAATAAAAATATATAGCAAAAAAACTTCTGTCTGTTTATGGTGTAATTTTTTTTCTATTGTATTTGAGACAAATCTAACCCTCTATCGCTTACAAATCTTCAATTCTAACTAAACCTAAATCTTTGATGTTTCCTTTCTTTTAGTGTTCTCGCAAACAGTTCATTCAGTTGGTGCAGTCATAACTTCTCTTTTTTGTATCAAAAATTGTATCAAAAATATTGTAAGAACTAGAAAAATCTGTCGTCGTATGATAATCCAAAAACAAAACCAATTCCTTAGAGGAGAGCAGGATGAGACTGACATGGATTAGCAGCTATCTAGAACTGAGATAATCTTCCGCCTGTACACCGCGGTCTCTTGTTAAATACTTATAAACCAAACGTCAATCCGTGGCAGTATGTAGGATTTTGGCTTACTGAAATTACTCAGTATACGCGAGGTTATTTTGACATTTATCAAATCCTATCTCTGAAAGGTTTCCACGTTTATTTGATAGCGTGCCTGTGAAGTTTACATAAGCGTGCTGCGTAGTTTATTTGTACAACCACGAGTCAGGCTGTAAGGAAGAGCTGAATACCTCCAGCCGGTTTTCCTGAGATAAAAGAATCAAAACTCAACACTGAATTGTGTCGTCTATCTGGGTTTATTAAATGATTGGTAAAAAAAAGGCCTTCATGAACAAGCTCGAAAACTGTACTGATTTCAATCAGTCACGTTCAACAATATTTGATATTAAGCAAATATCAGGTGGCTTTTAAAAAGAACTATCCCGATACATTTCCTCAAACACGGGAGCAAATTTAGAGGACTTGTTTTCTAAGTGCATCCCAGTTTGTTATCATAATAACATATATCCAATTTTTTTTTTTTTTTAACTGAGAGCGCTTACTTTATCACGAAATCCTAACAAATTATCAAGCAAGAGTTAGAGTTTGATAGAGGACTTGGAGTATTTTCCTCAGCTTGTTATCTTGTTTTGACTTGGTGATCCATTAGGCTACGCTTTGAAAGGAAACCCGCTACATCATCAAACCTCCGTCACAACTCAAGGTAAGCTCAACATCAAAAATCTTCTGGCTATTGCTATACATTTTTCACACTTCCATTTGGGAGAATTTAGTCTTCGCAAAGATTTCCTCTCGGAAAATGAAAAATAACTCATTGAATCAGTTTGACCGCAAAGCATCAAGAATCTGTGAGGTTATACCAAGCCAAATTAGTAAACAATGTTATTTAACCGAGGAAATTACTGTTTATATAGTAAAATGATCGGAGACGTGCCGCTAACTGGGAAAGCAGTTATCTTCCCAGATGCGTCTACAAAATTAGGCAATTTCCGTCATTACGAGCCTTATCGGAATCATCTGATCGGAGAAACAATTTTGGACGAAATCAAAACAGTCGCTGTGCTATCAGTTAAAGATATGTTCTCAAAATTCCTTCCGTAAATGAGACTCTTTGTCGTCAATTTTCTTGTGTTTTCACTCGTTATCAGTGAACTGAGTACAGCTTTTAAATAAAAGTATATGGTATTTTCTCAATCACTGTTGACCCGAAAAAAGGGTCTCCAACCACAAATGAACACGAAATTTTGAAAGACATTTTGTTCGGTAGGATTATATGACAATCAGGAAAACTTTGCTTGCTGAGGCAGTCTGCACTTTTCAGTTCATTGGAGCCGAAACACTGACATCTCAAATTGTGTATGTGACAACTCACGTACCTCTTTTGACAAGAAATCTAAGGTGAATGCCCGATAGAAAGACTTGCTGATTCTTTTGGGCTCAGCGATGTGGAAGAGTAGTTAAATTCTGCTAATTACCTAGCAGGCATTGCTGTAATGAATAAAGTGTCAAATGGGTGTCGAAAAAAAAAAAAAACTGAACGACAGCGATCGATAAACAAATCAAGGCCATGTCGGCTACAACTATTTTAAGCCTCGAAGCAACACGTCTTTCTCGATTGGAGACAGTCAGGTAGAGTGGCCATATGAAAATTTCAGCCTTCATTAAATCTGTAAGAGTTCCGACTCTAAATTTTTATTGACGTTTGTTAATTTATATAATATACTTAGGGGATGACTTTATCCATTTTATTTTTTCAAAAATAACCAAACAATTTAGGTTGTAAAAAGCGCTGTGGCTTTTGATTGCAGTGGAGTACAATCTGAATGTATATTTACTTGCGAGCAAGAAATTATTAGCTGTGTATATTCTCATGCTTTTGAAGTAGATTACAAACGACTTTCTGGCTGCATTCTCTTGGTCGCCTGGGCAATAATACTTTATTATCGTGAACCAAACAGTTGTTTAATAAAGCGCTTACACTAAATCTTTCTCGTGCTTCATTAATTTTTGATCTCGAGTTCTATTTATTGAAAAAAAAGTAATCTGTTTGTCCCAGTCTCAATCCGCAAACGATTTTGACTGGTTATAGAAAGATTTTCCCCCCTAGGAATAAAATAAGTCTGCAGTCCCCAAGCTTGGAAAAAGATTCTTCCTTCAGTGATAGATGACTATGCCATAAAATTCGTATCTACTCAGCAACGAGATAAGCTGAAAGCTCGCGTGCCATTCATTTTCCGGCATTTGAAAATTTACCACACACTGCTCGTAATTTTGTCGGTCATTGTACTTAAAAAAATTCCATCAATTAATAATGTCAATGATCTTATATTTTTTTTTTCTTCGAGTAACCTAAGTAGTTTTGAGTAATCCTTTAAAGTCACGAGTATTTTATTTAATAGAAATGTATGTTTTTTTCTTCAGGCGCACAGATAAAAATTCATAAAATAAATTTAGGAAAAACATTTTGAAAATAAAATTAGACAAACAATACGTTCCCTTGACAAGAACACTTGGAAATTGTTCAAGAGAATATAAACTGATAATCTCCTCAAACTATTCATGTGCGCATAAAAAGGCCTGGGGAGAAAGGTTTCCAGTAAACATTCCTCACCAGTAAATGGCATAAAACGGTTCAAAGCTTCCACATTAAAGGTGTTCAAGGTCGCCTGCAACTTGCGGTAATACAAAATACACTGATATTGCCAAGTAATTCTCATCGCTGATTTACTAAAAGTTCTAAGACTAAATATCCCTCAAAGTGCTCAGAATGCATCACAGAACTCCTTTCAAGACCCATTGGTGTTTCACGATCATTGCTCAAAACGTAGGCTTGTTCCAAATTATTCCAAATTCGATTTGTACGGCGGGCCTCTTTTGACAAAGCATAGATGATAACTTAAAATGCCTGGTTCGGGGTTAAGTAGAGCGATGGAAAAAGAGCCAAAGAAAACGAATTATAATACCCATCTGGGGGTGTATAGACAACGAAAACGGGGTCAGTGATTATAATTTAACATCTCTGATATTGAGGAAATCAGTTTACATTCTCTCGGTTTAAAGGAGCTTTCCTTTTCCTTTTTGCCACGAAACCCAGCATTTTCTATGGTATGCTCCCAATTTGACGTTTTTTTCCAATAAAAATGTTTATCGTCCAAATTTTCGTGAGCGAAAGTCGGAACTATTTCAGAGGTTTTCTTTTTTAATGACTGCAAAGCCTCTTGGCCCAATTTGGTAGAATTAATTCTATATACCTTTTTTTTTTCGGTTAAGAGTTTGATGAGGACATGTTTCACTGGTGGGAAGAGCTTGCCAACTAAAATATGTTTAGATTTTAGACGTAGCCGCGCAAAGGGTCACAAAATTGAGAGCCTTCGAGTATCTTTTTAAACGTCTTAATTAGCCACGATGGAATTTTCAATATATTGAGTGACCTCTGGTTAACAAGAAGGGTTGAAATACAGACAAAATGTGTCGATATCCTGAAATCCAATAGCGTTTGTTTCATCAAGCGAGACTTCTCAAGAAAAGCAGTTCAGACAGCACATGAGACAAGCTGGTTTGAAAGATAAAGACCCAAACTCTTTACACGGGTATTAGCCTCTTCATGTCGCCCCGAGAAGGACAAAAACAATATTGAATGCAACTACATACGCCTAATACCTTTAAGGGTTGCGTTTTTGGCGGAATTACCGTGAGCATAAACTGTTTTAAAACACTTGTTAAGTACAGTAATCTTTTCCTGCGTGAGAAAAGCACTCGATCTCGCCGGACGGATTTATAACAGATGATTCGTTAAGGGTGTGATGCCAATGTCGATAATCAAACTACCG